AGCAATTGTCCATCTAGAAGGAATTTGAAACCTAGGACAAGCTGCAGCCACAAAATTCCTGAAACCCTGTCTGTCTACAAAGCTAAAAGGAAGCTCATCAATGATTAGGTTATACCCGATCGGGTTTCGTTGGCGGGTCGGGTCAACCGACCCATTCACACAAAATCGGTTATACCCGATCGGGTTTTTCGGGTAGGGTCGGTTTTGCTCACCCCTACTAAAATCTGCGATGAAACCTGCGATTTGGTCTGATATGTGAGCGTCGAACTCTGCGACCTATGAGAGGCTGTACGCGACGGAACCGGTGAACTGAGGACTTCTGCTCGCGGTGACGCTTGCGAAACGGGAAGAGTTGTTGGCGACGAAGTGTGCTGGTGAGGAGCGGCTAACGTCAAACGCTTTGAGGCCTGGTACTGTCTAGAAGTTCGTGATGGGTGCTGCCTCTGGTTCGCTACAAAATTCCGCATCTCATCCATCTTCGCATCTATCCGACTGGGAGAGGGATTATGCGCCTGCGAACTAGAAGAAGCCATTCTCGTTTGCGAACTCGGAAGAGCGACGGAAGACGACACCTGATTTTCCATTGGCTGACGGCGTCTAGGAGGACTCCTCGCTCGGCTTCTAATTCTCCGGCGACGCTCTTTACGCAGATGATGTATCATCTTGTCCAGCATCCTTTCCATCTTCATGAACTTTCCTGTGATATTCTCCATTGCGATTGCTCTGTGATGATCGATTCTAACTCCAGGAGCCAAAGTAGAATTCATAAAATGGAAAAGAGAAAGATACAGGAGAGACCGTTCGAGTCGTCTCAACACTCCCAGGGGCTAATTCCAATCCAAATTCTGCCTACCCTCTTATTCCATTCCCACTCCTATTTATAATAAATTCCCTTATGGGCCGGCCCAAGCTAATTAGTACCTAGCCCAAACCCTTATTTATACAATATCACACCCCTTAGTAATTCTACTATTATAATTCTTATTGGAGTTCCATGTCCCTATCAGTAAGCTTTATTTGATAAATGATAAGATGGTACCTGTTTTTGATGGTTTGGCTGACGGTTAATACTTGATATTATTTAGAGTTATTTTTCCTAAAATGGAAAAATATTAGTTGATGGATGACAATATGTTAATGGTTGATACTTCATATTATTTAGAGTTATAGAAAATGTATTAATATTAGGTGGCAGTTGACACTTAAAAGCCTCTTGTCAACTTGCAAGCTTTACAGTAACACACCTTTTTCTCAAGATTGCCTGTAATTCAAAGCATACTGAAATAAGTCAATCAAATTTGACATCATCTAGAGAGAATTTATAAATTTAGTCATGTAGATGAAGCTTTGAGCTTCAATTCTAATCAGCGTACGAGGTCATACTGCAAGCACCAAAATACAAGAGATGAAAGTTGCTTTGAGAGCTTATGAAATTGCATCAATTTCTTTTGAAAATGTATCACTTAATCATTTCTTTCCTACATATTTTACTCTTGCACACTTTGCTTTACCCACTATACACCTTGAACTTGATCTTGAAGCCTATATAATTCATACTTATCTTACTTCCATTGGTACCAGACCACTAAATAAGTTTTCTTTGATAATTGGTACCTGTTTTTGATGGTTTGACTGACTGGAAGTGTAGTCGGAAAATGGCTTTGTATCATTTTTGTTATAGATTTAAATAGTTCGGGTATGAAACTGTTATTTCCATACTCTGAAAGTTGCTTTGAGAGCTTATGAAATTGCATCAATTTCTTTTGAAAATGTATCACTTAATCATTTCTTTCCTACCTATTTTACTCTTGCACACTTTGCTTTACCCACTATACACCTTGAACTTGATCTTGAAGCCTATATAATTCATACTTATCTTACTTCCATTGGTACCAGACCACTAAATAAGTTTTCTTTGATAATTGGTACCTGTTTTTGATGGTTTGACTGACTGGAAGTGTAGTCGGAAAATGGCTTTGTATCATTTTTGTTATAGATTTAAATAGTTCGGGTATGAAACTGTTATTTCCATACTCTGTATTTTGCATTAATATTAGTTAATGGGTTGATACATCATACATGATATTAATTAGAGTTATTTTTCCAAAAAATGGCCACAACAACAAAGTACTGAACATCATATTCCAGCTAAATTCACGGAAGGGTGTCGCGGAACCTTTTGTTGTACAGCTGGATTTAGGCTGGTAATAGAAGGGTCTAGCCTTCTGATTTTTATAGCAACGTCACACATTCTCCAGTAGGCTTTCACCTTTCTGATACAGAATGGTGGTTAACCTTTCTACTACTCAGCAGGGTACTAACCCTCATCAGAATAAATTTATACCCTATGCTGACATAAGAATAAGTTTTATCTTTGCATTAACTCCAACATATAACACTCTTTTCATTCTTGAGAAACATTGATAGTGGATTGTGGGAAGGTTAAACTCTATAGTGCTCAACAAACTTATTTGGCTTCATTACTTGTGAACATAAAAAACCTATTTCAATCCATTTCATTAGGATACTTCAGTTAAAAGCATTTAGTTAGGAATACATTAGTGGCTGTTTCAAATTTCAATGGACATAAAGTGATTATCCAACCTCCAAAACACTTAAAAGCCTCTTTTCAACTTGCATTTTTATAGTACCACTCTTATTTCCTTAAATTGACTGTAAATCAAATAATACTGAATTAAGTCAAAGCAGATTTGACATGATTTAGAGAGAATTTGCGAACCAACTTTGCCGTCTAGAAGAAGCTTTGAACTTCAATTATAAGCAGCAGAGGAACTTATACTGCAAGCAAAAAATACAAGAGTTAAACATTGCTTGGAGCTTACAAAAATGCATCAGTTGTTTTTGAAAATGCACCACCTTAATGATTTACTTTCTACCCATTTTACTCTTTTATTCATATTTTTACCAACATTCACATTGAACTTGATCTTGTAGCCTATGTAGTCCATATTTATTGTACAGGTGTTCCTGTTTACAAGGTTCATTACCTAGTATGATAGTATCTAAAGTGGCTTGGCCCTGGGCTTGACTCCCACTAACTTACTCCAGTAGGTGACATTCTTACAACAGATTAGGACCAAATGAGTGGCAACCCCAAAATATGAAAATGTGTCGTTTTTTCTATATTACAAAAGTCAAAAAGTAACAAATTGGATAAGCACATTTTTTCCTCAATCACTTTGTTAAATAAAAACACTTCATAGTTGCAATAAACTCGAAAATTGGTAGCATGTTAACCAATGTAAACATCTCATTGTTGCCTCATAAGTCATTGTCACTGCCGCTCAATTGTTGCAGCAAATGCTTGAGTGACCAATTCAAATCCTTAAATCCTGACATTAGTGTCATGTTTGCTCTATCTCTTATTTTGTAGACTGTAATCCTAATGACAATGACCGATCCCAAGTGCTTCACAAATGTATTCGTGAACATTAATTTCTAGGGACCTATTCTGAATTGCATTGTCATATTTTTGAGTATCATGGGACATGGATACATGTTTGGGGAACCAACATTTAGAAAAAAGTTAATATGTGAACCCCATTTAATTGAAAATAATAATATTTGCATTCCATTCCTTCATTTTTTTAACAGGTGGGGTTCTTACATTACTTTTTTTGAAAATAGAGTGCAAAGTCTAATATCACCAAAAATAGGAGGTGCAAAGTAAAATTGCCCCTACATATTCTGTATAGTAGTAATGAAATATGTCACCACTTATCCTTTAGTCGTTGATGATTTGAATTTGGTCTGTTCTTTCCGCGTGTAAGAAAGGTACACCACTAAGAACTGATTATGGGACATATATCTTTGAGGCTCTAGTTCTTAGTGCATCCGGTGGGATTGGCCCATCAAATGTTATAGCGTATAGGGCCAGAGACAGAGATTGTAGAGAAACAAAGAATAAACGGCTTGAATTATTTTTCATACTGTATTGTTTTTTTTTTTTGAAGAAAAAAAAAGTTTATTAATGAAGAAGTTAAACGAGAGTACAAGAGAGAAAGATGAAAAAAAAACCTAGAGAACAAGACACAAATAGAAAGAAAAAAGAATCTTAGCTAAATGCCAACCCGAATAGTTTTTCCATTTGATTCGAATTAATATATGACTATTTGCATTCGAAAAAGTCACATAAGAATATGAATAGTAATTTCTATGCACATATTTATCAAATGAAAATATGAATATTGGTATACTCAATTCCAAAGTTATTCAAATTTATCCAAGGAATAGTAATAGTTATAATAATTGTAATAATAATAGTAATAGTAATAGCAATAACAACACTTACAACAACAATAATACTAGTATGACTAATACCAATGATAAATTCAGATTTCAGATGATTAACTAGCTACAGAACATACAAGTCCAATCTAACTTTCGTTTTTAGTTTGTTGCTTCTCGGGTTTTAGGATGTTTTTACTTGGACTGAAATTTGCTGGTCTAGTCTGGTCTGAACTGGTCTGGTAAATGTTTGGTCGCTTTGTATTTTATAACTGTGGAAGTCTGGTCTGGTCTGTTTAAGCCCGGTCTGGTCTAGGACTGAAAACAGTCCAAGTAAAAACATCCTTAGTCCTCTAATTATTATTTATGATTATTTTATAATCCACATGTTTCTTACTTTAGATTTCTAAAATAGTTTCAGGCATAACATGTTTTGATTTTTAAATATGCAAAATGTCCAACAAAAACATAAAAAAATGTGATTCTATGTACCATTACATATACATGCATATTATATAATATAATTAGGAAAAAATAAATGGTGATATATTCAAATATGAATATTCGAATATAATCAAATATATTTGTAAAGTTAACCAAATCAAATACAAGTCTGATTCGACTAGAGGTATATTGTCAGAAAATTGCCCAAAAAAGGGCGAATGAGCTTCAGTAATTGAGTGTCAAACTAACAATCAAATCAAAATAGAGAAGTAACTGAAGATCTTATACACGCATTGGCATGTGTGTAGGTGAGTGCAGTGGGGGCAGATGGAACTGGGTGGCGTGCACTCAAGTAGCAACGTGAAGCCATGGCTATTAATTTCCACAAGGTAAACAAACTTCGTGGGAATCCCTCAACCTTTTTCTTTGTATAATTATGCTCATTATTTTCCTTTCTAAGAGGGTCCAGCAGTGGTTATGGCAAAAGTAAAGCTCTCGAAAAGGAAAGAGACACACACAACAGCACTCTGTAAAGTCTGCAACAAATATAAAAGTGATCTGATATGCCCATTGTGTACCCCTCAGGTTCTTTTTCATGAATTATACATAGCTCAGAAGATACATGATGCTCCATTTAAGTCATTTCACAACTCCAAAGAAGCAATTATTATTCTTTTCCCTTCTTGTCCATATTAAAGATGAGGTAGATGAAAGGGGCTTCATAGTAATTTTAGAGGGTAAGATCGGTGAATTTGGATCCCTTCCAAAACTGAAAAGTTCCCTTTGGAGGGAGGAGAGAAATTATGATGGTGATGTATTGGTGAGTCAGATAGAGATAATAAGGTAGAGATAGGAAGAAGGGAATGTCATACTACGTAGTAGTCAGGAATGTCAATAAATGTCAATAAATGTGTTAAGCTTGTGTGCAGTTTTTTATTGCTAAGAAAATGCCATTAACTTATTTGGGATAATATGTGTATGTTATCTAACACAAGTGATACTCCTTATTTATTTGTCTGTGCCATTTGCAAACATCATCACTTTATTTATCCGATCTTTTCTTTTTGCAAAGATATTATGAATAAGGAACATTTCAATGTAATTTTGATATTCAAAATAATTAAGTATTAAGAAATATCATTGGTCAAAGTTGATTGTCATTGATCAAGAAAAGTCAATTTGGCGAACCTTTTCGGGAAGGAGGGAGTATCTGATACTACCTCCGTCCCAAATTAATAGTCTCAGTTCCTATTCACTTGGTCAACACAAATCATTCTTAATCTCTTACTTTATATATCAAATTTTTATCAGATTTGATTCTTGTTTTTGCGGTTTTGTAAAGTTTTTGATGTAGTTTCTGAATATGTAATTTTTTTTTTTAAAATAATTTGAGTGTGGATAGGGATATGTTTGCCTTATCGTCGGTAAGCATCGTAAACCACAACAAGACTATCATTTTGGGACGGAAGAAGTACTTCTTTTAGTCATATTTTGGGGTCGGGTTTAATGTCTTAAATTCTCTCATGATATATAAATTCCGTGCATTACCTCTTTTGCTTCTTAATCATGCACATAACAGCCATAACTCATTCAAAGACTAATTTAATTATCAAATAAAAAAGTGAGTGATGTTTTTGTATAAATAATAGAACTTGACAAATTGACTTGCATGCTCATCATCCTAACATTAAGTTACATGATTTTAAAGTGTTAAGTTTGTTGTTTCCGAGTGTTATGTGCAGGATTAAATATAACATAAGGGGGTTTTGTGCATTTTTATGTATCACAAAAAAACATATACTCCGTATTAGGGCATCTCCATTGGTAGGATTATTAGGAGATTAAATAAATGACATGGCAGATTTTTTATAGAAGCATCATTGAGTGACTTAAATTATTTAATGAGATTATTTGCTACAATAATCCGGGATCAAAATATGAATCCGGATTATTTTAATATTATTTAAAAAGTATATGTAATAGAAGTTAATGCAGGACCGAAAAAATCGGATTATTTGAAGATAATGGTTGTGAGACATAAACAAATATTGAGATTATTTAAAATTAATTTTATAACAATATTTAAAAGGTAAGAATTATAGAAAAAAATGATTATTAGAGTGAGATGCTCTTAGGATACATTGACTTCATTATCCCAGCTAACAATCTCATCTCCACTGTTTCGGTAAAAATAGTCTTACTAGTGCGCGTGGCTTGAGTGATATTTCGGAGTCCATTGGTAATTAAATATCGTTTTTATCAATCTTTCCATTCCACGGAAGGAAACTAGTCATAAAGATTAAAATTTGTCCATCTCTAGTCCTTGTGGCTGAATTTCCAACCCCCTCGTGGTGATTTTAAAAGCCGAATATATTTATGAAAAGGAACACATGTAGCACGAAACAATAATTATGAGAAGTAATCAAAATTAAAATATGGATGGACTATATGTGAAATTTAATCCGTATATAATATTAAGTTGAAACAAAAGTGGGATTCATTCTAAAATTAATCATGTCAAGTTTCTTAGCGAATTTATTTATTCGCTATCACTAAAACGACAATCTTTTTGCGGAATTGCGGCTAGACAGTAGCCAAATAATTTGGCTAGTAAAGCTTCTGTATGAAAGATCATTGAATTACTAATGATGGTATTTAGGCTAGATTCTAGAGTAATGCTTTTGTATGCCTTATTATTGAAGTGATTGGACTTTAATAATTGTACATTATATAGTTCTATAATTAGGATAATAATAGACGTCGAAAAAGTTAGGAAAGAGTGGGAAGGAGAATATAATTTAATTGGCAAATAAAGCTTAATAAATCAAGGCCTTCAAGGGTTTTTTACAAAAATATTCCTAAAATAAACTTATTTACGACTATTAGTTACTACTAGTACAATATAGTATCATAATAACTGAAGTTTAAAAATTGAACATAGGTTAACAAAATTTCATTACCACTCTAGTCACTAATCATATTCTGCTCATTCTGTTCGGGGTCAAATTGTTCCCTCACGTGTAAAACTAAAGTCATGTATTTCCCAAAAAAAAAATTGGAAAATATTTCCCTCATCCCTTATAATTTGGGAAATTATAGGGAATCATACTATGAACTATACATTTATACAGCGGGTTACTCCATCATAACTTCATTTTAGAAATGAGTAATTATAATATATCTAGTTATCCACACATTTATTTATGAGTCCATAGTGGAGTCATGCATGTTTTCTTAAAATTTCTGCTTATACGTTTGTCGAGTTAGATTGGCACGTTGAACAATAAAATAAAATTTTTAACTATGATTTATGAAGAAGAGAGAAATAATAAGAATGACAGATTAGTTGAGGGACTAAAAAAGAAAGTTGGCAAAAGAAAAGTGATAAATTATTGAGGGACTAAAAAAGAAAGTTGGCAAAATTATAAGTAGTCTATATTTATTATTTTAAGATTCACAATATTTTATTTAGAGCTAATAGTTGGTTAGGTTTAATTGCCTAGCAGTTTATAGTGGGCTGACAGAGCTCTCATTAAGGACACTTCGAATCTCATCCAAATTAATAAGCGTATTATTATTGTTGAACACGAATTGTAGATAGGGATGGACTCATGGACTGGGCCCGAGCCCAGGACCGGACGAGCTTCTGGACTAAGGAATTCAGGCCTGTTACCGGCCCGGGACCGGGCGGGCTTCAGGACTAAGGAATTCAGGCCCATACCGGCTCGGGTATGCTCCGGGACTGGACCTGCCTAGGCCCAAACAGTACCGGGCCGGGCCCAGATTGGCACCACCCATTTAATTAAACTTTTTTAAAAGTGGAAATATCCCCGTAGGTCTATATTTTATAACTATATTTCAATTATGTCTCCTAATTATTTACTTTTCAATTATAAACTTTAACCTTTTCACCTTAAATTTATTTATTTCAAAATTAATCTGACTCTAAAGTCTAAACTAAAACCAAACGGGAACGTCGATTTGTCGCAGCGCTTCAAATTTTCTTATTTGTCTATCTTCGGTCATCTATGGAGGAAAACCTTCTTCTTCGAGGTCGAGTTGCAAACGGCAATAACGATGGCCCTGTAGAGACGGTGGACGTACGCTACGGCTTCGAGTTCACAGGGGACCTATGAGGCGACGACGGCTATCATCTGGAACACGGCAGACCATGGACGATCTGGAGCACGACAGGCGATCTGGAGCGGCGGCGAGATCTAAGGCGAGCGAGGTGAGTAACAACAGCAGGTGAGCTTCAGAGACATAGCTGTGGCTTGGACGGTTCGTTCATCTTCAGTCTTCACGACCTCACCGCTAGTCAAACTGAAAGATTTTAACAAAAACGTCATAGATTTGTGCGGCTGTTCCCCTCCCCCCGTGTCGGTTCCGCCCTCTTCCCCTGCGTGCTCGATTGCTTGCTGCCTCATTGGTTTCCGATTTGCACGATTTGCAGGTACGTGTTTGAGATTTTGAACATTTCGCTTTCGCTTTAATTTTGATCTTAATTCATATAGTTAAGATTTACTTCTTGTTTCCGATTCAGCTTTTTTTATTGTAAAATTTGAATTTATGTTTGAATGAATGCATAGACGCTGTAAAATTTATCCAATCTGGAAAGGTCATCTAAAATAGCAAGGGTTTAGAACAGAGCACATATAATACATAAATGAATTCATACACACTCAAGAAATGGAACTTCGATATTATGTTGGATAAGGAAATGAGACTTTGAGTTGCTGTCTCCTCATTGACTTCCCACTTCAATATCATGCCAAGTATCACATTATGTTTAGGGAAGCAATCTACTGCGGTCATCTTTGCACTATAAGGGAAAGGATTATAGGATGCAACTTCAAATGGGGAATGGTGGATTGCTAGGAGCCAGTTACATCCAGAAAGTGAGTCCTCATAAATCTTTGGGAGGTGAAGTATTCTGTCCTGGACAACATCGCAAATCAGGGATAGACTATGCTACCCAGTACAACACTGATAAGAAGGTTGCCTCAGGACAAGTAGCTAGCACTAGACTTGTTGCATTGAATTATGTTCAAAAGTGTCTGAGAAAGTTTCTCTAGCATCAGACTTAATATAGAACTACATTTCTGGAGATGTCACATCAAGTGTTGGTTATCATTATATCCTTTGGCAGTGTCGTCTAAGGTGGAAGATCGGCTCCAGCTGCTGTGTTTCTGCTTTCTTGGAAGAGCGATCGAACACGGGGCTTAATTTCATCCTTTCTGCTGCAATTGACCATAAAAAGAAAGATTACAAGTCTGGTTGTGGACTTGCAATATGAGAATAGTGTGAGGCTTCTTTAGATGTTCCTAAGTGCGGGCTTGTAGTGAAAAGACATTGAGCATCTTCCAGTTGATCGATGATTCTTTTCTCCATTTCCATTATTAGCGGGAAGTTTTGTATTTTATTCTTTTGACTGTGTCGAGTAAGATATGTTTAGGGTCAATTCCGAGCTTCAAGTGACTGCTTATTTTGCGTTTTTTGGAGATATTATTACATGGCAGTTTATAACTGTAGAACCTTCTGTTAATAAGATTGTTATTCTCGCTTTTGTTTATAATTTTGTATAAAAAGCAAAGTTTTGCTTCAGTACAAACATATGTTCTTCGCACTATCATTATATGGATTACAGTTTCGGTAAAAATGACACTCTTATTTCTAAACTTCACTAGTCCTTTTCATCTGTTATGAAGTTTCCTCCATTGACACTCTTAATGATTGCATTCTCGTTGTAGGCACATAGTAGCAAATAGGTACATGGAGATGCAAGGGTGAGAAGATCGACAAGGAAGTGAAGACAAAATTAAAGAAGAACCAAGCCATAGATGTAATAGATAAATGAATAAATTGTAATAAGAAATTATTTTATATGTATGTTGAGATATTTTTACATGTTATTTTTGTTGCTTTTTGTTGCATCGTGTTGCTTTTTGTTGCATCATGTTTTTTTGTTGCATGATGTTGTTTATTGTTTTTTATTATTGTTTTTTATACGGAGTATATTGTTTTTGTTTCTCTTTGTTGCATTTTGTTGCATCACATGTGTTGCATCTTGTTGCATCGTGTTGCATTTTGTTGCAACATGTTCTTTTTGTTGCACTCTGTTACTTCTTATTGTTTATTGACGATTTAGATTTTTTGTGTTTATTTAAGTTTCTGTTTATCTTTTCTACTTCCTTATAACAAAAATATCCATTTAATTTTATAAACAAACACCTAAAATTATAAATTACGGAGTATGATTTATGAATATAAACAACAAGAAACATAAAGAAACAATAAGAAACAAAAAATTCAATTATAAACAAAAAGAAACAAAAGGAAACAAAAACTAACAATAAAACGAAAATTATAATTGTTTATAAATTTTTATAATTTTTTTGTTCTTTAACAAATTTCATAATTTTTTTTAAAAATATTATTTGTTAATATGTTTCAAGTTCATTATTTTAGCTTTTGACATTTTTATTTTATGAGTTTTTAAATTTTACTCTCTAGGTTCATTAGGTTTATGTTTTTTTTGTTAAATATTTTATTTTTTTCTTTTTTGGAATTTTTTTCATTATTTATAAAATAAAGTTATGTTGATTTTCTGAATATTTTAATTTATAAAATTAACTTTATTTTTAGAATATTTTGAAATTTTGTATATTTATTTTATTTGTATTTGTCTAATATGTATATTTGTAATGTTTTTAATATATATTTTTTCATTATTTATAAAATTATTTTGATTTTCTGAATATTTTAATTTATAAAATTATCTTTATTTTTAGAATATTTTGAAATTTTGTATAGTTATTTTATTTGTATTTGTCTAATATGTATATTTGTAATGTTTTTTTAGAATAACCACTTCTTCATACAAGTTTGTAATTACTTTTGATATTATTTAACAGTTTCAAATTATTTTTATCTAAATCGCACATGTTATTTATAAATTTAAAGTTTATTATATTTTTTAAACTATTTTAACCTTTTATTAAACTTCTGATTTTTTTTTTGACATTTTATATATTTTATATAAATTATATTAATGATTTAAAGTAGCATTATAAAATTCATATTTTGAAACTTTTTACAATTTTCCCACATTTTAAACTATTTTAAACTTTGTCATTGTTTACTTTTAAGTTTTCCATATGTTTTTTAATTTTCTTATTGATTTTTTAAAATTTAAATTCATTAATATAATTTTTAAATTTTATAATACAGTTTTCCATCTCTTTGTAGTTTATCAATGTACGGAGTATAAATTTGCACTACTATTCTTTTATAAAAAGCATCACAAATTCACAAGGCCACTTTTGGCCTTTTGGGATTTAACCGTACTGGAAAATGCATACGTCCACTTTAGCTTCCGGCGGGTATTTGAAGTGCATGGGTCTATTAGTGAAAGAAAAAACTTACGGAACTTATTTTTGAAAAGGGTATTCAAAAATGAAAAAAGTGATATTATTTAAGTGTTTTGGTCTATCCGTGTAAAATACCCTTTTTAAAAAAATAGTGCAATTGGGCCCTGACCGGGCCTGGCCAGGTCGGGCCCACAAAATTGAGCCCGAAGCCCGCCTCTTATAACTACTAGCCCGATCCCAGGCTGGGATCGGGTCACGTCGGCCCGTCCTGGTCCATCCCTAATTGTAGATAGGTTGGAGTATATGCAAAAATAGATATTTAAAAGAAATTGCTCAAATAGGGCGAAAGCATGATAAAACTTTCAACAGAAATTGCCCTAAATAAAAGTAAAAACGTTTTGAAATTCCAAAATAGGACTATTGTGTTTTTTATTCCCTGAATAGGAGTAATCTGCCAAGTTTGGAAAAAAAATGTCATGTCTAAAGCCCTAGTAATATCAAACTTGATAGAAATTTACTCCTATTCAGGGAATAAAAAACATGATAATCTTATTTTGGAATTTTAAAACGTTTTTACTCTTGTTTAGGGAATTCTTTCAAACGATAATTCTCAAACATGATAGGATGGGTAAACCAAAACTCTAATCCTAAATACTAAGGGATAAGAAGTCATTAAAACTCATACTTCGAGATTTAAAATGTGTATCACCATTTTGAAAGTTGAGTTTAAGGACCACACTTAGATTTAGTGGCAAAGGTCAATTGACCCGAGTGATTGTGCTTCATGTACACGAAAAAGGCATTTTTGTCTACTCATAACTTCTTACTCAAAATTTTATTTTTGAGTTTTAATTTTACCTTGTTTTTAGTCCTAATTTAGAATTATGCTCTTTAATGAAGTTGTTGTTGTCCATTATATACTTTCCCCCATTAAAGTGCTTTTTTGAACAAAGAGGAACCGGCCGTATCAATATACATGCATGTGAATAATAGCTCATCATAAAGCATATTGCATGTTACAAAGAATGCCACTTTCTCTTCCGACCACTTTCTGTCCTCTTTTTAATTCTCTATGACATATAGTACACTTTCCTCATCACTTCAAAAAGCCCATAACACGCTAAGCAATTTATATATATATATCCTCGATAAACTCAAAGAAAACGCATAAAACAGACTATCAGAAACAATGAAAGGTAAGGAGACCACCAATGGAAGATCTACCGCATCATCATCAGATCTCTTAGTATGTTTTCCTTCAAGAATAACTCATACAATGAAAGCTAGACTCTTGTTAGAACCCAACAAGCGCAACCCCGCCCACAAAAAGTTACTGGCGCTCCGGTCTGGTGGCAGCTGCAGCAGACAAGCCAACAGCCCTGCTCTAGAATGGTCCAAATCGAAAACCTCGGAGATCGTGGACGAACCGAAGTCCCCCAAAGTTACCTGTGCCGGGCAGGTGAAGGTCCGGCCCGATCAGCCCGCACGTTCATGCAAGGACTGGCAATCGGTGATGCATGAGATCGAAAGGCTGCACAAGAGGCGAAAGTACAAACGGACGCCGTCGTCTTCATCGTCGGGGTTGTGGTTCAAGAAAGACGTGGTGCAATTCATCACATGCTTGCGTAACATCAGGTTCGACTTCCGGTGCTTCGGCGCGTTCCCGTCCTCCGCTGTCGACGACATCACATCTGACGAGGAGGAAGAGGAGGTCAGAGAGGTGGAAAATACAGAAGGCAAAGATAAGGGAGATAATGAGTCTCCGACCGCCGCTTTCTCTAAATGGTTCATGGTCTTGCAAGAAAACCAAAACCCAGAAATAAACGCCACGGAAAAAGATTCTGACGCTAGTCCATCGTGCGTACCACCACCCAACGCCCTCTTGCTCATGCGCTGTCGTTCAGCTCCGGCGAAGAGCTGGCTAAAAGAGATACAAGCGAAAGAAGATGAAGAGAGGTCAAAACCCGAGGAAAATGAAGAAGAAGAAGAAGAAGAAGACAAAGAGAGTGCTACTTCTACTAATCGCGAGGAGGAAGAGGAGGAAGATGAAAAGGAGAAGAAGAAGACAGACATGAGCTTAGTTGTGATGGGATATGGAGAAAACTTCTGCAAACTGTCTTCAGACATAGCCAAGGAGACTTGGGTTGTTGCAGGAATCAGAGATCCGCTGATCTCAAGAAGTAGAAGTTGCAAGAGGTAATCATTAATCAATACACACATAATCTTGTGTGCATGTTCAGGTCACCGTTTCATTTCTTTCGTTGACTCTGCCCAATATTGGGGCATCTTGTGGGAAAACTGCATATATCACGCAGAAGAATAAGAATATTTCTTTAATTTATGGAGGAAGAAAGAATATGGTTTTAATCTTATGTGTTGTTGTTGTTTATTTTACTTTCCGCTTGTTTTTTAAAGCAAAAGAAGCTGTTTAATTTGGGTTTTGAATTCTTAATTATACAGTATCTAATTCCATGCTTTTATTCGATATGGTTCTGAATATTTATGTGTTTTGTCAAATTGTGACGAGACTAGGTCACTATTCTTGTTACGTTATGGGGTTGTAATTTGTGACGTCGATTGTGTATTCAAGAATTGTATCTAAATGTGTATATCACTTCTTTGATGATAATAAAATATTGCTTTCTTCATGGTTGATTGCGTTTATACTATTCAAATGTACGGTTTTTATAGTTTATTATTATATGCAATTTTTGACGCGTTTTTCATTATGGGTCATTCGAAACAGTCTTTATGTACTTTAGCACAAAGGTAAGACTGCGTACATCCGATCCCACTTATCCCACCGTAGGTGGGAGCCGGCACTGGTTTAGTTATGATGATGATGTTATTGTCACATGAAAATCTCAATTAACACCAAAGCTTATGAACTCCCCTCAACCATAGTTAGCTTAGTCTCTATTTGGTTTTTTTGTATAGAGTTTATTGCTATTCTCAAGAAGGTATTTAGGTCATTTCGAGTTAAAAGAGTATTAAATGTGTTTATTGAAAGTTGAGAATAGTCTTGAAATCGAGTATTTGATATGAGATTTTTAATCTAAATAATCTTTTCATAATAATCTACGTATTCAACTATGATCTCTAACTTTTTACATGATGACTAGTGGTGGACTGAACCGGGCCGGTTCGGGCCTCGGGCCTAGGCCCGGCCGGGCCTCAGTTCAGTAATAGAAGGCCCGAGCCCGAACCGGGGTAGGGCGGTCCTGGGTCCGGTTCCGGGCCGGACCGGGCCGGGCGGGCCACCCGTTTTTTTTTTTTTCCTTTCCCCCCCCCCCCCTCACCCCCCACCCCCCCCAAACCCCCCCAAACCGGCCTAAACAGATAGCCCAAGCCCAACAGCCCAAAAAAAATGAAAAAATTAAAAAAAAAGTAGATTTGGCCCGGACCCGGGCCCGAACCGGCCGGGCCGAGCCGTCAAAACCATGAACCGAGCCCGGAACCGCCCCACCCTCGGGCCTCCGGCCTGAACCGGACCCGGACCCGGAAAACCGGGCCGGGCCGGGCCCGCACAGTAGCGGGTCGGGCCGGTCCCGGGCCGGGCGGCCCGAACCGAGGCCATGCCTAATGATGACTTGCAAATAATCTTATGAATGAGGTTATGAGGATGTCTATACCTAGAGAAATTTCTATATATTTTATGTATATTACAAAGTACATGACATGGAAAAGTAGAGCAATCGATTCAAGATAGTATCAAACTCCAATTATAGAGTGACTGAATGACATGTTCTTTTCTCAAGATTTTGAGTTTTTTTTCGAAATAATGCTAATTAAATATAGTAAATAATTTCCAAAATACTATTGGGTTAAAAATAATTCTCAAAATATTGTTGGGTTAACTGTGTTTAAGGAAAGCCGCCAAGTACAAAAGTCGCCACTTCAAGTGGCGGCTCTTCTCTTACATCACATTTTTCATGGATAAAAAACACAGCATGTTTCAAGAATTTGTTTGAGGGACGGGAGGGACCGTCCGGCCAAGGCCATCAGAGGCCCTTCCCGGTGGAATTTTTTGATGAAATTTTTTGAGCATGTTCCTCATCAAGTCTAGTTTATCCATATTAAATTTCAGCTAAAAATTCAACCGAGAAGGCACTCAAATGATTTTTGGAAGTTAACTGCGTTGTATATGTATATAAACTGCGCAGTTAACTTCCAAAAATCATTTGAGTGCCTTCTCGGTTGAATTTTTAGCTGAAATTTGGTATGGATAAACTAGACTTCATGAAGAACATGCTCAAACAATTTCAGCAAAAAATTCCACCGGGAAGGGCCCCAAATGGCGACGGCCGGACGGCGGGTCCTGTCCCTCCGGCTGGACAGGATCACGCCTCTCTCTCTCTCTCTCTCTCTCTCTCTATATATATATATATATATATATATATATATAGAGAGAGAGAGAGAGAGAGAGAGACTTTACATAGTTTTAAAATATTTAGGAGAATTTCAACAGATACTAGATTGAATAAAGAAATAATTGATCAAACAATTTACAAAAGATTTAGGATTTTCATACACTATTTAAAAAATCTTATGATAAATTAGAATACATCTAATTAAAGTATAACACTTTTATGAAAATATATTACATATATATTAGAAAATTTTATAAGCGGTGGTGAGGCAGCTAGGCCTGAGGTTGGCGAGACTGCTTCAGAGCGAGTGCCGGTCGAGGATTGCCATGAAGCTAGCTAGGGTTTCGAGATGACGGGTAGGTCAGGGGATTGTCAAGTTCCCTAGCCGCCTCACCACCGCCTATATATATAGGAAAGCGTTCAAATAAAAAGAGGTGCTCTTGGCAAAGTGCGAAAGACTGCACTTTTTTCTCACCATGTTTATTATTTCATGTTTCTGTTGCACTTTTTCACAGTTATAAAAAACTTCGGTTTATTTACGGAATTGTCACTGTACTTTTTATCAAATTTAGTGCATTTTTGGCTCATTTTGAGCCATTAGATATGAAAATGATCGCACAAGATTAATTCTCACTTTGCATTTGAAGACCTCTTTGTATTTGAACACTCCTCTACACACATGCATATATATAGACAACAATTCATGTCCAGCCGGCCAGACGGGAACCGCCGTCCGCCCAAGGGAATTTCAAGACCTTCCCGGTGGAATTTTTTGACGAAATTTTCTGACCATGTTCTTCATCAAGATTAGTTATCCATACCAAATTGAAGATAAAAATTCAATAGGGAAGGCAGTCAAATAAGTTTTTGAAAAATACTGCATTGTTTTTATATATTAACTGAGCAGTGTTCTTAAATAATTTATTTGTCTGCCTTTCTAATTTCATTTTTACCTGAAATTCGGTATGGATAAACTAGACTTGATGAAGAACATGCTCATAAATTTCATCAAAATGTTCTACCAGAAAGGCTCTCAAACAAATTCTTGAAACATACAACGTTTTATATCCGTGAAAAATGTGATGTAAGAGAAGAGCCGCCACTTGAAGTGGCGGCTTTTGTACCGTAAGGGAAAAGCCGTCACTTGAAGTGGCGGCTTTCCTTAACCGCGGTTAACAGAACAGTATTTTGGAAATTATTTTTAATCCAACAGTATTTTGGGAATTATTTATTTAATTAGCATTATTCCGAGAAAAAACTCGAAGATTTTCTTATTTCTACTTTAGAATTCTTTTCCGGGAATGTTTGACTTTGCATTTCATGTTTTGAGTAGTATTTGACTTTGCACCTTATTTTAAAAATCATTAATGTATGCACCTCATAAGCCCAAAAATTCTGAAAGAGTAGAGTGTAAAGTCAAATGATTTTATAGTGAATTGGGTTGCATATATCAATGATTTTAAAAACAGATCTCAAACACAAATATCACCTAAAACATGAGGTGCAAAATCAAATTGTCCCTTCCTTTTATTATACCTATGTAAATTTTAATTATCGACAATGTTTATAGGATTAACAGGAGTAAATTTATGGAACCCCATATGACTCCCTTGTGGAGTCATATGGGGTATTGTGGCACCATCATCACCATTCATTTATTTAGTGGAGGACCCTACAAAATAAATGAATGATGATTGTGGTGCCACAATACCCCATATGACTCCATAAGGGAGTCATATGGGGCTCTTTAAAATTTTTGGGATTTACAGAGCAAATTTAATTTTATTATTCATCATTCTTAAAAATGTGCATTTTTCAGACGGATGATGTTAGTTTCTACCATGCTAGATGTTAGATGTTTTGAACGAACACTGGTAACAACTTTTTAACACCCATGAGCAGGGGCGTATCCAGGGTGGGGGCAGGGGCAGCTGCCCCCACTCAACCCCCATCCAACACCTATATATATATATTCAATAAATAATTAAATTGATATTTGTGTGTAGAATACATATATGTTATTATTAATTTTGCTTTTTTGAAGCCTAAACCATTTAAATTGACATTACATATTCTTATTTAGTTTTTGTTCTTTTAAAATATTTTTATTCATAATGTTTTTCAATTATTCTTTTGTACATAATACTACGTACGTATGATTGTATGAACTTGTTTTTTTAATGTCTTTGTGAATTCAAAAATTAAATTGATTTGAAGTGCATGTTTAATCCTTCAAATCACTTATTTCATTCGTTTGTTTATTAAAATGTGATCAAAATTTATTTATAACAAAGTGAAATTTATTTATTGCTATTTTTTAAGTATGCTATCATAATGATTTTGTCTAGTGAATATTCTTCATTTATGATTGTCGTCGTTACAATTTTTTCCTTAATGTGATTTATCGATGACATTCAGAAGATAATATCAAGGGTAATTACTCTAAATAGACTAAAAATGTTCGTATGTTCTAAAATAGGACTATCATTTTTTACTCTCAAATTAGAAGTAATTATATTCATATTTTGGCAGTATCAGACTTTAAACATGACACTATTATCAAATTTGGCAGTAATTACTCCTATTTAGAGAATAAAATATAACAATTCTAAGGGAAGTTCGCCCCCACTGACAATTTTTTCTGGATACGCCACTGCCCATGAGTACATATTTATAATGATGTGACAGTTTCTTTTGATGAAAACTTTTTTAATTGTATTTAGTCTTCAACAAGTCAACTCCTTTCGGACCAAATGTCTCGATCCATCTAGCAGTCCTGGACCAGTCTGGAACCAGACCCAGGGTTGGTTTGCAACTGCTTTTAAAAAAGCACTTCTCAGCTTTTGGCTTTAAAAAAACACTTATTTTTCCAAACACTACAACTTTTATTTTTCTCGGCTTCCGCGTAAAAAGTGCTTTTACTTTTTCTATTACAAAAAAAGCACTTATTTTACCAAACACTACCCACTTTTACTTTTCAAAATCACTTTTTTCTCAAACACTGTCAACTTTTAATTTATTTAATCACTTCTCCCCATTTCATTAAAAAAGCACTTTTTTAAAAGCAGAAGCTGTTGCAAACAGAGCCCCAGTATTGTGTGAGATCATACCAGGTCCGGAAAACGGTGTAGGTGCAGAAATGGGTACCAATCGCCAAAGAGGCAATCTCGGTCCCGAGTTCTAATATTTGGGAATGAACTGGACGGTTTCAGCTCAGGTGGTCATCGACCCACTCTCCCTTACGGGAGGTCCCGAGTTCAATTCCCAATGGAGTGAGATTGATCCCAATTCACCCCAAATCTCACAAACCCCCACCCCTCAACGCCCTCTGGGAAAAAAAACTGGGCAGTTCCAGTCCCGATTTTGATCTTAGGCCAGCCAATATTTTTTATAGCTTCAAAATGGGTAAAAAAAGGTAATGAGTAGTATTCTTTTCGGGAATGGTCTTGGTAGATGATTTCAGGACTGGTCTAGCTTGATCATTTCGCTGGATCGGCCGGGCCGGTCTACTAAAATCAAACCCCGGTACCGCTTGCTTCTTTATCCGGGTTGGGCCCCAGGCTTGGTCCCGGGTCGAACCAACCCATCCCAACCCACCCCTAGATCTGACTACCCGGGTACCTGAAGTCCCTATGTTGCATGGATACGGATACGCTAATACGTGAATATAGATACGACGATACAACAATTTCAAGATTATAGGATACGAGTACGAGGCGTATATTGATAAATAATAAAAATATAGGGTATAAATTGCAAATATATATAATTCAGAGGTTCATAAATAAAATAATAATAGTGCCAAAAATGGCGCATGACTAGAGGAAGCCTCTAGCATGATGTAATAATAATACAGATGAACGTGGCTGGTAGTCACGAGGCAAAGGGTTGAACGTTTCAAAGTAAACATGAACCCACAGGTCGAAGTAAAGATGAACGTGGCCTATAATATAATATCATCCTAGATTTAGTGTCTTAGAGATTGAAACATTGATTATACTTGGTATAGTTGTCATTGTACTTTTCAAATGCTTCAAAGTACTGACCTCCCCTTCACGGGGGAGGCCACCTCACAGTTTCAGGTAGAACTTGAAGGCTACCATCGCCCGTTGCTTCGGGAAGATCAAGGAGAGAAGACGTGGTTCGTGCTTCCTCCGTTTCTGTTTTAAAAACATTTACATTAATGCTCATGGATATTTGATGGATAGTGTACCCGGGGGGTAGCTTATCCGGGGGGTTATTATGAGAATAACCTAGAGAGAAGTCAGAGTAAACAAGTAGGAGAGAGAGGCAATTGCATTAATGAACTCGAGATGTTCTGGTCCTTTACAAGAGGAATAGGGGCTACTATTTATAGTAGCACTAAATGCGATGAGAGTACACGTGTCAGTAATCTAACGGCCGAAGGGTCACCTCATCGGGGTGGCACCGGCACTCGCATGTGTACCGCATTAAATGCGGTGGTTGGACGTGACGCCGCATTAAATACGGTGGTTGCTTGCCTCCAAAGGAAATCTTCGATGATTTGAGTTGTTGGCCGAGGTCTCTCCCTGCGGCCGAGGGCTCTGTGCAGCCGAAGGCTTCCCTGATGCCGAGGGCACGCAAGTGCCGAAGGCTTCTGATTTATGTCATTTTCTCTCAGTAGTTTCGTATGCTCGAATATGGCTGCCCTGTGAGTTTTGGAGCCTTCGGCCATATTGCCGAAGGCTACCCTAGGTGCACCGCGGGCTCCTTTGAGCTTGAGCCGTTGTGCTTCGGGTTTCATGCGCTCCTTGGGCCTGTTGGGCCTATGTTGGAGTAGCATGAGTCTGTGGGCCGGGGGTTCCCGGGCCATATACTCCATCAATATTATTTTCTGAATAATTATTTGGGGGGCTTGTGTGCCCATGTTTGCCAAGTGTGGCTTGAACACTTGTATTAATGTTTCCGCTGCTTTAAATGAATATTTTACATTATGTTTGTTTATGGATGTACTATGTGTGAATGGTATTCAACACGCCTAGTATAGTATGGATGAATTGGACTGCAGTTGACTGTTCGTACTGTACGGCGGGTTATTGACGTGACCGATAGGTCCGGGGCATGACAATGGTAATAATGTTCATGTGATAAGCGTATTTGATGGGCATTGGGCATGTGCTGTAAGTAAAGAATGATCTAATAGTTCATTCATCTATTCTTGCTAGATAAGATAAATCTTTTTTTTGTTTTTGTTTTTTTGTTTTTCTTTTTTTGGTTTTTTTTGTTTTACTTCAGGAGGGTCTGGGAGAGGGCGGCTTGGGGGCCCGGAGTAATCAGGGCTGAAACTCACTAAGCACCATTTGAGTTTCACACTCATATGTGCCTAGCGAGTTTCAAACTCGAGACCTCCCACTAAACACGGTAACCTCACAACCAACTGGGCAGGAATGCTTGGTTGATGATAAGATAAATAGCTTAAATAAAACTATCATTGTTTGGTACTGGGTATTTGTAAACAATTGATTTTACAGAAATTACCTTAAATAGGAGTAAGGGAAAATTACTATTAACCCCCTGAGGTTAGGTCATAATTATTAATGAAACCTTGCATTTTCAAAAATAAATTAGTTACCCCCTTAGCTTTGATCATTCTCACTATATGCCCCCCTCATGTTAATATTTGTTAAATTAAATTTAATACAATTTTATTTATCATTACTATAAATCATTGTTCTTGATCGTTATTTTTTACTTAGCTACTCGTTCGTGGAATAAATATTAATGAAAGTAGTTAAGTTAGATGACTGACGAGCTGCATAATTTTCATGAGATATATCAAAGAAAGTTGTTTGAAATATTGTGATCAAAATTCTTGACACCTCTTCATCATGAATATAAAAGTCTTGTTTGTAAATAGTAATTCATTCGGCTAAATTTATTTCAATGACATTTTTTGCGTGTGTAGCAAAGAAGAAATACCAAGATTTTTTTTTTTTATCAATCCATGACCTAAAAAATTGGTCTAGTACTAATAACGAACCTAAAAAAAATGTTCGATATTGGGTGGAAATAATTGTAAGCTGTCAATCCATCTAAGACCTAAAATATAGATAGTATTTACATGATCAAGTTGATAAGTAAAAAAATCACGATCAACAACAATGACTTATAATTATGATATTAAATTTTATTTTACTTTAAAATTTAATTTTATAGACAACTTTCGTTAAATTTAAGTGTTATATTGAATTTAATTAACAAATATTAACGTGAGAGGGCAAACAATGAGAATAATAAAAACTCAAGGATTAAGTAATTGATTTTCGAAAATGCAAGGTTGCATTTATAATTATGGCATAACCTCAGGGGGTTAATAGCGATTTTCCCTAGGAGTAAAAACGATTTTGGAAAATGGAGATTTGCCTTAATAAGAGCAAAACCAAACATTAAGTTCTATTTTGGGAAAAAGCCAATGTTTTTGTCTTAGCCATAACAATTTTTTCTTGGAAAAAAATGTCCTATTTATAGCCTGGTGATGTCAAACTTCACGGAAATTTACTAATATTTTAAAATTTCAAAACGTTTTTACTCGGAATTTTCTGTTAATTTTAATTCTCAATTAAGTTCGTTGGTGATGAAATTCTATCTCATTTAGGAATTGATATAATTGGCCGGTGTGACGTGGTGGACCTCCAACTGCTATCCATGGAGTATTATATATACACACACGTCGCCTATGCCGAAGCAGAAGATAGATGGCTATGGCCGCCTCCGCCCTAACCCGCAGCAGAATCATCATCTTTGTGCTCATCGTAATAGCCTCAACAATAACCGCCGAAAGGGTCCGTTTGGAGGAGGATGACCACCGAATCCTCAAGGCAATGATGGGCCGGTGCGGGGAGATATTCCTCAACCCCTCTTCGCCGCCGCCGGACAACATCGTCCACGCCGATGAAGCCCGGCTAGTCCCGAGACTCACCATGTACAACTGCCATCTACTTTTCGGTCAGGTCAGTAAGATAGCGGGCAGCATCACTCCCGCAGCCATTCGTCAGTTCGAATTGTACGAGGTGCCCTTCTATTATCCGAGGGCCTATTTATCATGGGTATCGCCAGATTTTGAGGACTTTTCGGAACGTGGAGTCTCCGTCAAAGGTAATAAAACTGAGATTCCCGACAGAGATTACCACGCCTTGAAGACGGTCATGGATTCTTGTGTCCTCCAGTTACTGGATGAGGATTATGAATCCGAATCAGAATCTGGGGATAATATCAGATTCTGCAAGGAGTACTTTGACTACTTCTCCTCCTTTTACTACTACAGGGACAGGCTGACCCCCGAGTTCGTCCATGTCATGAAACACTTTGAAAAGTACTACGCACTTGGCTTTGAGGCAAAGAGAATACATATTTGCTTGCTCACTAAGATGCGTAGTCCCCAAGACTGTTTCCATCTTTACGAGTGCTGCTTTCCAGGATTTGGAGAAGCTGTCCTAAAGGACACCCCTGTGCTTCATTTAATTACTGCTGGCCTCCATTCATAGGTGTTATATATGATCCCTCCATCTATTCTCATTGCCTTTTTTTCGTTTTTCTATGATTAAATTAAATCAGAGGGAGCTATCTAGCTATCTGCTCATGCGTGATGCCCTTAGTATATAGCCAGCTTGTTTATCACCAACTATGATACTGTAAGTTTAATTTGGGTTATATCCGTTATAAGTTCTCTAATATTAGGTTGCATTTGGACATGTAACTAATTAATACTGTCCGTCCCATTTTGGTTGTCTTACTTTCCTTTTTGGGTTGTCCCAAAATCGATGTCATGTTTCCCTTTTTGGTAAGAAATTTATAGTCCATATCATTTCACTTTATTTTACACAAATCTCAACCACAACTTTTAGTCTTTTACTTTTCAACCAATTTATTAATAACCGTGCCAAATTGAAATGAAACAATCATTATGGGACGGAAGTAGTAATTCTTTGCACTTTAAGTATTGCTCCATCAGAAAAGTATAGTATGCTTTCTATATGGCGCGCCGTAAAGTCACCAGAGAATATGTCCACCGAAAAGGATAATTTAGTTGCCAAAATCGTTAAATTGCAAAGATTTATTAGTTATAAGATCAATAATTCCTTAAGGGAGAATGCTTGGGAATTTGAGTGAATGAACTTCAACGCTTTAAGCTGCCCTGTTTTCTTATTGCTTTAATCGTGTAGTTTTGCTGCTATATATCATATCGCCTAGGGATGTTTTCTTTTGGACTGTTTTCAGTCCCAGACCAGATCAGACCAGACCAGACTTAAACAGACCAGACCAGACTTAAACAGATCAGACCAGACCAGACTTGGATAGTTATAAAATACACAGAGACCAGACGTTTACCAGACCAGACCAGACTTAAACAGACCAGACCAGACCAGATCAGCAAATTTCAGTCCAAAAGAAAACATCCTAGCTAGTAACTCCGTTATGCTCATTTTAAAGATGTTTTTAGCAATGCATATTTCAAAAGTCTCTATTACATTAAATTTATATAGGAGTTGATTATAGACACGAGATCACAAATCATGAAACTCAATCGCAAATTGTAATACCCAATAACTGAGGTTTGATGTTCACTGAAAATGTATTGATGCCCAACGAACAAAACTTATAATTTTCATATCAATGCTCATCTTGTAAGTTACATATGTTCATTTGTATAGGTCCAATGCTTATTAAATATATTTAAATGAGCATATTATAAAATTTAAATGAGTTGTTGTCGGGGCAACTTGGCGATATCTTTTCTCGCTTAAATAATCTGGAGGAGATGTATGAGATTTATATGACACTACCATTTTTTATGTTTATACTATATTACTGGATTAACATTTGAATTGAAGTTTCAAGGATTTATCATACAATATGTTCTCCTTTGATCTTCCGCCATCATTTAGAGATTTGACAAGCTTGAAAAGAGCTTGTAAGGTTCCCTCGCTAACCCCATCCCCCAATTATTTTGACGTTATTATCTTAATTTTTTTCAATTTTTAAAACTAACTACTCAAGACAAGTACATATACCTGCAAGGTAACTTGTTCAGAGGATCATTCATTCATTTGTCTGGGATCCCGCTTCAACACTTGTGAGTTGCGTTACTTGTAGAGTTTCTTACATATTTAGAGTTCACATTTTGTTTCAATTCTCAAGTGTTCCTTCGCAGGAATATTGAAGACGCTTACTACTCCTTTGAGTGTTTGAGTCACAATGCTAGCTTCTGTAATCAAGGCTCATCATACAAAATTTCATTTACCTTCCACCCTTTACCTTCAACCCTTTTGTCCCTTTAGCTTCCACAATATACCATTCATCACAAAGAATAAGGCTAACTGGTTAAGTAGTTAACATGCACTATATAAGATATGCATAGCCACCTTTCAGAATTCAGACCTAGGCTAAGTCAAAGGCTACATCATGATTCTCATATGCATATTCAAAGATAAGGCATACAACTTAGACACATTTCAAATACTCACAGAGTTACAATTAACTAGTTAAGTACTTAACATGCCATATATGATATATGCATATAAACCTTCAGAATTCAGACCTAGGCTAAGCCTGAGACTACATCATGATTCTCATATGCATTTCTTTTTACTCCAGGGGGTCTGGGGGAGGAGGGCTGTGGGAGGCTGGAGTAATCAGGGCTAAAACTCACTCCATTGAGTTTCGAACCCTTATGTGCCTAGCGGGTTTCGAACTCGAGACCTCCCACTAGGCACGGTAACCTCATAACCAGCTGGGCTGGAATGCTTGGTTTCACATATGCATATATTTAAAGATAAGACATACAACTTAGACACATTTGAAATACTCACAGAGTCACAGTTAACTAGTTAAGTACTTAACATGCCATATGTGATATATGCACATAAACCTTTCACAATTCTGGCCTACATTAAGCCCGAGGCTACATCACGATTCTCATATGCACATTGAACGATAGGGCATACAACTTAGGCAGATTTACAGTATTAACGGAGTCACATATGCAGTTAAGCAGTTAACATGCCAGTATGCCACATATGCATAACCACCATTCAAAATTCAGACCTAGGGTATGTCGAGGCTCCATCATCATTCTCATGTGCATTTCCGCCATTTACAATGCACAGATAACTTATAAAGTACACACGAATCAAAATTCAATACATGACCATCATCATCATCATCACAAATTCACAATCACATGTTACAGTTTAAACATCATCAACAACATTATACAATCAAATACATGAGCTTCCACAAATCACTATACATTGATATGAATAAATGAAAACATATATCACAAATTCGTAACAAAACTGTAGTTAGAATCGTAGAATGGAAGAAATACCTCTGAGATGATGAGATAGAATAATATTAAAAATTAGTGTAAGAAATTCTACCAATTAGAGTTTTAGACTTCGAACAGTCGCACACTGCACAACCAGCGACGAAGGTCTGGAACGAAAAATCAGAGATCAGACTGACGGAAAAGCGGAGAAGGTCTGAGACCTTAACACTAACCGGAAAACCGACGAGGTTCGAGATTGAAGATGAAAACGAGAGGAGAGTGTAAGGTCAGAAGATGAAGAGAGAAGACGGAAGAGAGAGGAGAGATCAAACGAGGAATGAAGGAGGTGGATAGAGTTAGGGCTGTTACGCACACATATATACCATATACAAAACGACGTCGTATAGGGGGTTCAGATATTAGGTCAGGTCGGGTTAGGATTATACAAACCCTACTCGCTACCCGGTCCAGGCCCAAATATGTCTGGTTCTTCGGTTTCGGGTATTCGGGTCGGATATCCATATCCGAACGGATAATATCCAGAAAAAAGTCGGGTTTTTCGGGTCGGGCCGGGTTTTACTCTGCCCTAACTGTTCACGCCTTTATGGCAGTTGCCGTTTCTAAAAATTGGGAGCTTCACCAAATGGATGTTCATAATTCTTTCGTGCATGGGGATTTAGATGAAGAAGTCTATATGCAGATTTCTCCCGGGTACACTAAATGTGATCCCTCGCTTGTATGTCGTCTACATAAATCACTTTATGGCTTAAAATAAGCCCCCACTGTTGTTTTGAAAAATTAGTTGGGGCTCTTCGTGGCTATGGTTTTATTCAACCATTAGTTGATTATTCTTTGGTCACTCGGACCTGAGGATCCGTTCAGCTGAATGTTCCGGTATATGCTAACGACTTGATCATTTCTGGCAATGACCATGACGTCATTCTTCATTTTAAAACATATCTTAATACTTGTTTCTGTATGAAAGACTTGGGAACACCTCGCTACGTTCTTGGTATTAAAGTAGCACGAAGTCCCTTCGACTTATTTCTTACCCAGAGAACATACACTATGGATATTCTCACTTAAACTAGTCTTTTGTGGGCCAAACCGGCAACTTGTCCTATTAATCAAAATCACTCTCTTGCCAAAACTGTGGGACCTCTACTTTTTTATCCCGAGCCTTATCGTCGCTTATTTGGACGACTCATTTATCTGGTTGTTACTCGCCCTGATCTAGCATACTCTGTGCACATTCTATCTCAATTTATGCAGTCTCCATGTCATGCTCACTGGAATGCTGCTCTTCGTGTAGTTCGCTATCTTAAAGGCTCTACTGAACATGGGAACCTACTTCGGGCTGACAATGATTTATCTTAAACCAGATGGTGTGATTCTGATTGAGCTGCTTTCCCTATCACACGACATTCTCTATCAGGATGGTTGGTTTTTTCCGGTCATTCATCCGTCTCCGGGAAGACTAAAAATTAAAGCAATCTATTGTGTCACAATCATATGTTGAAGTTGAGTATCGTGCCATGGTTGCAGTCACATGTGAACCCAAATGGTTAAAGGTCCTTCTTTTGAGCCTTGGTATTCAGCACCCCAAGGCTATTCCTCTCTTTTGTGACAGTTAGTCTGCTTTACACATTGCTCGTAATCACGTCTTTCACAAGCGCACAAAGCATATTGAAGTGGATTTTCACGTTGTCTGAAATGCTATCAAAGATGGCCTTATTGCACCTAGCTATGCCCCTTACTACTGTTTAGCTTGTCGATATTTTCACTAAAGCTCTTGGCAAGACTCAGTTCCATTATCTACTTCGCAACTTGGGCATTCTTGATGCTCATGCTCCAACTTGAGCGGGGTATTATGCGGACTAACCATTTTGGGACAATTGTTAATTTTGGTCATATCTTTTATTTGCAATAATGTGTAATACTGCCTTTCCGTTTATTGTTAGGCAACTTGAGTATATTAGCACCCCTAGGCATCCCTTAGGCATCTCGGCTGTATACATGATTACAATTCAATAACAAAATATTTTGTCTCCATACTCTACTTTATAACACTTTTGGACTTCAATTATGGATTAAACTATGACTTAAGGTTTCCGCGCGGTAGATGTCAGTCGAAACTCACACCTAGAAGAGGTAGAAGTAAAAGACGACCCATAACTGAATTTGGGTATTATGTGGATGTGAGTATCGATGCGAAGACGTACAATGTGAGTATCTTATACCTAATAAGGATCATGGGTTCTTCAAAAGTCCACTTTTTAAGTATCTTATACCTAATTAATTAATAAGTACTCCTTTCGTCCCATTTTACCTATCTTACTTTCCGTTTTGGGTCACCTTTCCCTTTTTGGAATGAAATATGTGTTCCACAACATTTCACTTTATTATACCCAAATCTCAATCACAACTTTTACCTTTTCAACCACCTTATTAATAACTTGTTGAGTATCTTATTAATTATGTTGAACTTCTTAAATTCGTGGATGCTTGTAGCTTGGTGTATCTAGTGAAGAGAGTACGTATTTCTGAACTTCAACAACAAATACAACATGATGGTGCCGTTGTAGTTAGGATTCCAATTCCAAATGAGAATGAAATAAGATGTGTTGCTTGCATTGATAACCACTTAAATGCTACTCACAAAGCAGTCAAATTCAATGGTGATTGCTCACAAGTTAGACATGCAGGAAACCCACCATTTCAAGCACCTGCCTTGCAATGGAATGACACAGATGCAGTTACATCAAGGCAGTTGCTAAAGAAGATGAAAACCAGAAGGCCCAATTAACATAGAGTTCTTCTGTTATGAAAATTAAAAAATCCCATTAAAATTTTTCTGTTGTTACTTTTTGTTATGTCTTATTAGTGGACCACACTACTTTATGTTTACTTTGCAAGTGTATGATACTCCGTATAAGTTACTAGTTTTTCGGAAGTTGTTAGCAATGCTCTTCTATAATGTAAACTTTCTATACTATTTAGAAGTAGGGCCCCTGTAACTATTTAAATTTTTTAGCAATTAAATGATATGTTATATCAAGCCTAATTGTACAACATTTTTAGTCCGCGGCCTTTTATACTTGTGCAACATTTTTCATTCGCAACCTTTCTAAAATTGTGCAACACTGTTAGTTCGCATGATTTTATACTTATGCATATCCTATTTAATGAATATGTGCAACAAAGCTTATGGGAGGACATTAAACAAGAGTATGGTGTGAGTAAAGTTTATTTGTATTTTATGACGAGTGTTGTTTATTTTTCAGTGAGTTTATGTTCAATTTATGACTAATCCTATTTGTATTCTTGTGAGTTCATTTGAAGTTCACAACATTATGAGTTTATTAAAGACATAACTAGTAGAAGCTTATGAGATTACTCAAATTTTTATTTAAAGTATATTTGCTGAAATGATCCATACATATCCAACAAATGCTATGACCACAACATAACAACTAATAGTTATATTAAATGCATAACCGGTAGAAACTTACTCAAAAGTTTACCATAGTTCCGGTTGAAGCTTACACTCTAACTTTATACACAATCTACAAATACAAATTAAAGTAAAAGTACACAAAAAATACAAAAATTAAAAATTATATTTTCAAAACTAGATATATAACTCATAATTAAGACATCCATATAAACTGTTTCCCTGCATTTTTATCCGTCCACAAAGTTCAAAGTGGTGCTTTCATCGACATTACATACTTCTTTTTGCATTTGTGATACTTTGGTTGGCAAGGATAATGAAATTTAGTGTTGCATTCCATACTTTGTTTGCAACTAAGCTTGATAATGAATCTCATTCCCCCATAATCCAAACTTCCCTATCTTATTTCGTCGTCGGAGAGAACCCTTAAGTAGGGGTGATCATATTGGTTTGATTTAAACAAATCGAAACGTACCAAACTGAATTAAACCCGAACCGAAACCGGACCATATGCAATTTGGTTTGATTTTTGTAGTATTTCTTCCAATCCGTACAAAACAGAACCGAATAGAAACCGATAAAAACCGAACAAAACCGAACTAAAGAAATTCAATAAAAACTTCGTATATTATAAAAAAAATAGTGAATCCAAACTGAATCTAACCGAACTAAACCGAACCGTATCAAACAGAAAAATTGTATAGTTTTTAATTGGTACTAATTCTCCCAACTCGTTCCAAAACGAACCGAGCTGAAACGGATTTGGTTTGGAATAATGCCCACCTCTACTCTTAGGGTATGTTTGGTTCATGGTCATATCTAATATAGGCCGGAATCTTATATCTGGGATCTGAGATATCTATGTTTGGTTGGGTGGTTTGAATTTTTTTTGGGAATGTTTCATTCCCAAATTTTAAAAAAAGGAATCCCATAGCCGGTTATCTCATACCCACGTAAGTCTTAGGTTAAGTTAGATGTCGGGCTTGTTATTATTTTTCTTCCAGTAGAGTCCTCAAATACCAGTGCAACGAGAATGGCCACTGTGAGAGTCTAGTCTGGTTAAGTCTGAATCAGACTGGTGAAACAAACCTAGACCAGACTTGACTAGATCGGACCACGTAAGTCTTAGGTTAAGTCTGATTCATAGCATTTTTGAAATCACAATTGATTAAAAAAATGCTTTATTTTCGTAGTGCTTCAGAGGAGGTGTTTTTTTTTTAAAGTTTTGAGCTTTAAGTTTTAGTTTTGAATAGTTTAACGTCATATAAGCATCTCAAGTATGATGTGGGTTAATTGTAAATATGTATTTGTAACTGTAGTATGTATATCAATTACGTTGTTATTAATTAATTAATTAATTAATTAATATTAATATTAATTAAGTGGCTGTGGATAGTAATTAAGAGGCTGTTAATAGAATTACCCTTTATACTCAGACCTGTTGGTAGATTGTCGGAATGAAAGTAAACATGTATACAGACTTGGTGAAAAGAATACTTCAATTAAGGCATTCATTTCTAGTTGGAAAATCTTATTTTTTTTGTGCAATTAAACATATTTTGCTAAAAATTACGATAGTATTTACTAATGTTTAGTAATCTTAGTCATTTGTGCAATTAAACATACTTTGCTTAAAATTTATCCAATTAGATTTTATTTTAATCATTATTAATGTTTTTATTTTTCTATAATTTTAATTACTTTAATTATAGGTTGTAATAAGTTTACTATGTTAAGGGACAAATATTTAAAGGCCATTTAAGTAATTCACCAAATATGTAATATAAGATATCATTCAACCAAACAACTTAATATTACATTCCCTTAATCGTAACCAAACACAAATGAGTTACACATTAATCACATTTCCATCTATCTAACATACCTGGGGTAATCTAACATTCCCATGGCAATCTGACATCCCTTGAACCAAACGTACCCTTAAGTCAATAGCGGATGTTTTTTGGGAATGTTCCCAAAATAGGACTAAAACATTTTGAAAATTTCAAAATAGGACTGCCATATTTTTATTCCCAAAATAAGAGTAATTACTGTCAAGTTTGAAAATATTGTCTTGTTTTAAGTCTGACACTATCAAAACATGACAATAATTAATCCTATTATGAGAATAAAAATATGATAGTCATTTTTTACAATTTTCAAACTGCTCTATTCCTATTTAGGGTAATTTTGTTTTAAATTTATTTATTGCATACGCCTCCGGCTGATCTTTCTCCCTGCGGAGTAGTATGCAAAAAAAAACCATGTGTAAACTGTAAAGGTCGTTACTTTAGCATCTGGGCGTCGTCGCCTAAACGAGGGGTTGGCTTGCATATGCGAGGATAGTGAGAAGGGAATCAACAAAGAGAATGCCGTTCATATCCAAGATACAGAGGCAATCAGACTACAAATCCTTCCCCCCCAGTCACCCCATCGTCATTGACAATGGTGCTTCATATTTTCGTATTGGGTACTCATTCTAAACCCTAATATTCATTTATTTTATATGTGCATTTTTGGGTACGTTCATATATTATCAGTAAAGTAGTACTCCGTACAAAAGATCAAATTTTGAAGTTATGGTTTTTATCGAGTAGATGGGCTGGAGAGAGTGACCCTCGTGTTATCTTTAGGAACATTATTCAAAGGCCTCGCCACAAAACAACAGGTAATTGGACCTTCTTGTACTCTACTTTTCATTCTCAGTTTTAGCTTTACTGTTATTAGTCCTTAAGGGTGTGTTTGGGAGTTGGTTTATCGGAGGAGGGGAAGGGGAAGGCAAAGTCATGTGAGGGTTGATGACCCTCCATTTGTGTTTGGGACCCTCCAAAACCTCTCTAATGCTCAATTTTTAAGTTTCCTCTGAAATAAGTTTTGAAGGATAACTAACTAAATGATAATTTAAGCTACATTTAAAATAAATTTCAGTTCAACTATTTGAATTCACCATATCTCAAAAGTGATTTTTATTATAATTCCTTCTAAAACTCTCGTTTTCTAAATTCGCTATTCCCAAATTAGAAGAATGGTTTTTATTATAATTCCTTCTTTCCCCTACCACAACTTACCTTCAAAGCCTTCCCCTCCCTTTCCCCCAAACTCCCAAACATACCCTAAGTAGCAGAAACTTTATTTGGGGTTGAACATGATTTCTTTGTATGTTTTTAGGTTGAATTCTTCATTTCATTGTGCCAAAGGGTATCAGTGTTCATGTTCCTCTTTGATGGAGGATATTTACTTAACTATGACATGCAGTGTTTATTAGGCACTTCTTGAGAATGTCAAGTGGTTGCAAGGAAAAAAAGACATTAGGTAGTTTGCAAAACTACTATAAAGAAGACTTACTCATAGCTAAATTTAAATTCACTGTTGAAACTTGAAAGTTTCCATTGGAGCCTTGTAGTTTACAAAATCAAAAGCTTAAAGAGCATAGTTGAAGCTACCAAGCAACCTACCTCCAAGGGGTCAGTTGCATGCATGGATTGCTTTAGGATTCCGAAGTTTTGTAGATACTAATTATATATATTATTGCTCCATGTGAGATATTGTCCCCCCTCTTCACCCATCTGAAAATAGGGGTACAGAGGATATATACTCTGTACACACATGGATAAAAGATGTACACAAAAGAGGTATCAACAACCCATTATGTTCCTCATTAACCCGTGAATCGAGATTACTAATTTTATTCCCTTCCGCTACTGCCTTTGCCTTTAATAATTTACTTATTTACCTCAAATTGTTTGGATTAAACAAAAATAAATTGAAATACTTGCAATCTATTAAAGAAGTGGTATGAAACCTTTCTAAATGAAATGAAATGATATTTTATTTCCATCTATTACTCTGATGAAAATATGCGTTGTTCTTGATTGATGCAGGCGAAACTGTCACTATTGTTGGCGATCATAATCCCGCACTATTAAAATACTTTGATTGCACACGTTCAGGACCCCGTTCTGCATTTGATAACAATGTTGTATATCAGTTCGAGATAATGGAATACGTAAGGAATAACCTGTGTGACCTTTTTTAAAGTGAAATATTACCTAAAACGATGGATATTAAATTTGCAAAAATGGACCATTTATGAAGAAAGGAAGATTTAAAACTTTTAATGCAAAAACATCATATGATTGGCATCTTTTCACATTAGTTTAATTTCTTTTTGGTATTTAGATTCTTGACTTTGGGTTTGATCGATTAGGTGCAGATCAGCCTCAGGTACATCTTCATGAACTCTTAGCATATTGCGTAAATGTTACACTTATATTATAGATAAGTGATCTTGAGCAATTCAGTATTTATCTGTCTACAAGGGTGCTTGGTGCTTGTTTTATGTTAGACTTTCTTTCATGTTTTTGTTTAAATAGTCTTGAATGCTCATATGCGTCACTTATTGATATGCCTTATTTTATTTAGATGGTCATTTATACAAATTGATGCATTTTCTATTATTAACTAAGATGGATGAAATGGAAGAGTCCGTTAGAATTTTTATGTGATCGAGGTATGTCTATAACTTTTACCGGACATTAATTAGACCTGCATTATTGTATGGCGTAGAGCGTTGGACGGTGAAACAATGTCACATTAAGAATGAGTGTTTCTGAGACGCGCGTGTTGCGTTGAATGAGTGAACATACTAGAAAAGTTTGCTTGAAGAATGAGAGAATCAAACAAAAGGTGGGTGTAGCATATATTGAAGATAGGATGCGAGTGGGCTCTAGTCTCTAGAACCTTCTTGCAAAATAGTCAAAAGAAACTATTTTTTTTATCCCAAGTTCATTTGAAAAGCTTCAGTCTAAAATTAAACTTTATAGTTTTAATGTAGGCCTCAAATTTCAATTCACTGATCAAATACTATGCTTTCTAAGTAGTTAGCATGTGTGAAGTCCTTTCTCAGAGTGGTTCGTCCTGTACGATGTACATTTTGACAGTACATGCAAATCTTGAAACCACTGCTATTCAACTTTTTTGACAGGACAGATCAACCATCCCATTTTAATTACTGAGTGCGCTTGCAATCCTGTTCAGTCTCGTGGTAAAATGGCCGAGTTACTTTTTGAGTCCTATGGAGTACCCTCTATAGGTATGGATGTATAAACCAGTTAAATATCTAATGCCATTTGTTCTAATGTGGTTGAAGAATTGCAGTGCTTACTATTGCCTTATTCAATTTAATCAATGCGCTGTAGTAGATTAGCTCATTACTAGCCTTTTTGGATAAGACTCATGTAGCCTTTTTTAGACAGGACCCATGTATTTTTCACTACTGCTGTTTACGGCTTTGTTCCACCATCCACTTTAATTAAAATACAGTTTTTTGTTGTTGTTGTTGTTGCAGCATTTGGAGTAGATGCTGTATTCAGTTATAAATATAATCAACAGCTTGGAATTTGTAATAATGATGGCCTTGTGATCTCGTCAGGGTTTAATACCAGCCATGTTATCCCGGTACGATTTAGAGCCTAAAGTTAGGTATTGATTAGAGTTATAATCGTGGTTGAGTTCTTTAATGTTGTGTTTGGTTGGGGGATTTTGAAGGGAAAGGATAGTGATGATTGATTCTCATTTTACCATGTTATCTTTAATTATCAGTCCTAGACTAGATATATTTTCAGTTAAATGGTGTATTTCTATATAGTTATCATCTTCACCTTTTCTGGCCATCTGAATGTTAAATTGTATAATTTAATAAAAATCCTTACTCACTTTCTCCCCTTTCCAATCAAGGGCTCAGAGTATGGGTTTAAATGGTTCCTTTAAATTTAATTCTATAACGATCGGTGAGTATGATGGAATAAAGCAAAATGGCTCACTCAATTTGATATGAAGCAGCTGTCAGTCCATGCAATTTTCGACCCGGTTTTCACCATGGGTCATCCGGAAACCGTCTTTCTGTGCTTTAGTACATGGGTAAGACTGCGTACATCTGACCCCCGTACCCCACCGTAGGTGGGAGCCTTTGCGGCACTCGGGTAATGACAATGATGATGAACGATCAGTGAGTACAGTTTGTCTTCTTTCTATGGATTTTATAGGATAGTCTTTAATTCTATTGCATGCTACTATGTCAGGCAAGGGTAAAAATTCATTTTCTTTTACAGTACATCCTGACGGCGTGGAGTAGTATTTATATTTAAGGGCGAAGTAAACATAATTAATGATTTTGCTTAAACAGCATTTCATCCTCTTTTCTTTTGGGACCGTAGGAACACAAGAATATCCTGGTTCTTGGTAGCCATTAGTTGTTATTATCTGTACTTAAAACATGCATCATACAACAATTGAAGAAAATAATTGTCACTCGAGAGAGATTATCCATTTCTACCCTATCTCTGGCTTTCTACATACGACGATGATAAATTTGTTCATATTGTATTCCTACAGTTTGTCAATGGAGAACCTGTATACGAGGCATGCTGCCGGACAAATGTTGGTGGATATCACGTCACTAATTATTTAAAACAACTTCTTTCCCTTAAGTATCCTCATCACATGTACGTTCTGAAACTCCGTTTTCCTCTATAAATCATCACGAAAAACTGGAATGATTTATTCTATTTTTCTGGGTGCTTAATCAGGCTTAAGCTTACATGGGAGAAGGTTGAAGACTTGAAGATGGAACACTGCTACATTGCAGCAGATTATACTTCAGAGGTCAGAATGTTTCAGGTAAATTATGACTGCCCTTTCTTTAAACCATCATTTTCTTTCTTTTTTATCTTGATTTCTTCCATCCTTGTTGAATTGTTCATTAACTAAAACAGAAAGGAGACAAGAAAGCCGAAGAAAAGACTAGATGTTGGCAGCTCCCTTGGACGCCATCACTAGTTGAAGAGCCCCCATCCGAAGAAGAAATTGCTAGAAAAGCAGCTTTGAAGGAGAAACAAAGCCAAAGGTTGCGGGAGATGGCTGAAGCAAAGAGAACCTCTAGAATAAATGAACTTGAAAATGAATTAAAAGGTTTGGAACTCCTCTTAAAGGAGCTCAACCAGGTTGAGGAGGAGGATATTCCTTCTTTTGTTGCAAGTAGGGGCTACGCCTCTAAACGAGAAGTTGAATCTGCAATATCAAAGGCAACTCAGTCTTTGAGAAAAGCCAAGGGTGAACAAGCTCCAAATGAAGACAAAGTTGAGGCTTCTGCAGCCGAAAAGTATTATCTCATTGATGTTCCCGATGATCTACTTTCAGCTGAGCAGGTATGGAATGCGAGGCTTCTATAATGCATTGTGATAATACTACCTCCGTTTAAAAAATGAGTCATGTTTGAATCATCATTTTTTAATTGAAGGGGTAGCATTGATATTACAAGACATTAACAATGTGCATTCGTTTTTATAATTTAGAAATATATTTCTTGGCACTTTTTTTAATTTATCCGTTTCATAGATAAAGCTGGTATAGTTGTATCACAAAATTTGGTAAGCTAATAGCAAACAATTTCCTAATGCAGCAATGTTTTAATTTTTATGGACTTGGATCAGCATAACACATTTTCCACTTTTCTTGTTTGCTTCATTTAATTTGGGACATCTGTTCAATATCTCTCACAGCTCAGGGAGAAAAGGAAGCAGGTCTTTATGAAGGCAACCACTGAGGCACGGGAGCGCGCTAAGCAGAAGCGTATGGTAGAGGAATTAGAAAGAGAAAGGGAGAAGAAACTAGAAGAAGAAAGGCGCTTGTATGCAATACTGCATTATAATTTTCCCGATTTCTAAACTAAATGCTGAGTATTTATTTACTAGTTTTCTTTGTGTATTAAAATACAGAGAAAACCCAGAGCGTTATTTGGAGCAGTTGCGCACTAAATACAATGAGCTTTCAAGTAAAGTTGAGCAGCGGAAACGTCTCAAGGTGAATGGCGATAATGGAAACCAAAATGTCTCTGGAGGTGTTGGCCGAGGTGAAAGGCTGAGTGCCCAGCAAAAAGAGAGGATGCGCTTGCTAACCACAGCAGCATTTGATCGAGGGAAGGGTGAAGATACTTTTGGTCAGAAAGATGAAGACTGGCAACTTTACAAGCTAATGAGCAGAGATAATGATGACGGTGATGATGAGAAGCCAGATCCAGATGAAACAGAGTTGACTCGCATTTCTTCTAGACTTCAAGTGAGTAAAAGAACACTAAGTTTTCCTCTCTTTTAGTCTTTCGACGATTGTGTCATGATACTTGGTACCCATTTTTGAATAGTTCTGCTTTTGGTCCTTTATGTATTGTTGTATAGACATTTCTGGTACCTATCTTTGAGTATTTCTACTTTTGGAAACTATATGAGAGTGACACATTTGGTCCTCCAATTATTATTTTTGGTACTCACAATGGTTGGAGAACTAAAAGTATCCCTGTCACAATAGAGAACTGAAATGAAAATTTCAAAGACATACCAAACATATCATTACCACAAGTGCATCTATACCTGCTCGTATAGATAAATTTGTGCATGTTTTGACACCTCATCAGTTTTAATACTCTTTGAACGTCACACTTGTGCAGGAAATAGACCCAAATTTTTTCCCTAAATCTGAATCAGGACCCTCCTCTGTCTCAGAGCCACCCCGTTTTCGTCCTCTCTCAAAGGAAGATTTTCAGATCATTGTCGGGGTAGAAAGATTCAGGTGTCCAGAAGTCCTATTCAGCCCCAACTTAATTGGAATTGACCAAGCAGGGCTGGATGAAATGGTTGGTGTGTGCACAAGGAGGTTGGCTCCATATAAGGCGGAGAGGGATATGGTGGAATCAGGTTCCTTGGAGGACAGGATGACAAATTCAATCCTTTTGACTGGCGGGAGCTGTCTTTATCCTGGCATGGCGGAACGGCTGGAAGCCGGAATTCGGATGATAAGGCCGTGTGGAACACCTATACGTGTTCTTAGAGCATCTGATCCCATTTATGATGCTTGGCGTGGTGCTGCTACTTATGCTGCTTCCCAGCGATTCCCACACCAGACTTTCAGTAAGATGGACTATTACGAAAAGGGTGAAGATTGGCTTCGTTGGTACGTGTTTAGATACACGCCGTAGTTTTCTTATTTATTTGTTTATTTATTTATTTGTAGGGGTATAAGTGTAAACTAATCAATGAAAGACCCATCTGCACTCTCCAACAACCCTTTGTTTTCCTCGTAACACCCTTATACTTCAAATGCTAGCTGGTTTGGTCCATGTAATGGAATATGAATTGTCCTTGTTCTAGAAGGAAGCATATGCTCTATCGAGCTGAATTCCTATTCATTAATGTCATACTACTTTCTCTCTGTCGTCTCTAATTTGTTGTCTCTAGAATTTCATTCTTGTAATTCACCAGTTGGCGCTCTCATTCCAAAACATGCTGAAAGATTTATCTTAACTACTCTTCCCTAACAATGGTGATCTTTGCCACTAAAGAAGTATCTCGGCTAATGATTTTTTTAATTGGACTGTAATTTTCTGGTTTAGTATAGACTGCATAGTATGATCTAGTCTATTCTGTCCTGATCTAAGCGGGTCTTGTGGATGTATGTTCTATGTGTATTTTACAACTATCGAAGTCTGTTCTGATCCGGTCTAATTAAATTTGCTCTGATATGATCTACTTGGTTTGGAATTGAAACTAGTCCAACTAGAAACATCCTAAGAACTCAAGGAACTTCAAGTGACACTTGGTTACCATCATTGTATATATATATATATATATATATATATTCTTCTTAGACCAATGTTTTTAACTAGAACATGTTTTTTTAGCAGGGGTTTTTCCCCTAGAACCTGTTTTTTTGGAAAGGGTTTTTGCTACCGTGTGTTTTTGTGGAAAGAGTTTCAATGAGTCATATCCACGAAATGGGAACGTCATGCCTAATCAAACACGTCTGAATGTAGGAATATGACTTTCCCAACATGTATTTTTTGGATAGGCATAGGCTTTTAAGAAACATCATGCATTCATGCCTAATCAAACACATTTGGATTCAAACACATCATGCATTCATGCCTAATCATCACATCTTCACTCACCTCAAGGAGTGGGTGATTGGGAACAAGGAATTCAGTGTCAACGTGTACAAAACATATAAAAAATACCAAGAGATTCTTGATCACGAAGGTCCTTTGACTTGAAGGATCTAAACTTGGATCAATGTAGTAAAACGAAGGTTCAAAGTCATATGTATGTATGTATGTATGTATGCATGCTTGGACTCGGATGAAGATTGAAGAACAGCAGGATGAAGAAGAAAAAATAATAACACTTAAGGAGTAGGGAACTTTGATAAATATGTGACCTTGGATCTTTAGTTTTACACTGGGCTTGGACTATGACCCATACACGTATCTTCTAGGCTAACACCCGGCCTCGACAAGTGAGCGCAACTTTGACAGCCTATCGTCAACCTCGACAACCACCTCGGGTTTGCCCCCCATCAAGACCTTGAAGATATGATACATAGTAGCAATGAAGTATATAACATCACTCCACATCACTGAGAAGGATACCCGTCAATATTATAGCAAGTTAGGGGCATATGTCACATATTTTAAACGTTCCAGACATGTGTCACCCCTAGGGGTGGACTCGGGTTGGGCGGCCCGGCCCGGTCACTGTTTGAACCGGCCCGAACCGCCGGCCCGGCCAGGAACCGGTCCGGGTAGGCCTGACCCGCTGGGGTTCCGGGCCGGGCTCGGGCCCCTGAAAAGGTGAACCGGCCCGGCCGGTTCAGGCCAATTTGTTTTTTTTTTCTTCTTTTTTTTTTTTTTTATGTTTTTGGGTTGCGGTGGGCATTTTGGGCCATTTGAGGTGGTTTGGGGTGGTTTGGGGGTTAGGGGGGAGGGTTGGGGGTTAATTAGGAAAAGCCCAAAAAAAATTAAATTGAACCGAGGCCTGGCCCGGCCCGAACCGGACCCGGGGGTTACCCGGGCCGGTTCCGGGCCTCCCCTTTCATGAACCGAGGCCCGACCGGGCCCAGACCCGAACCGGCCCGAGTCCATTCCCTGCAAGTCGCTAGCTTTGTTAGCATATGCATATAAGTCCCCCTTGATGAGGTTGCTATAAAGTTTAGATTCTTTTCAGATTCTTATTCATTATTAATGCAATACATATTCCATCTCTAGAACTCACATTCTTATGATACATCAAATGAAACATGAAAATAATAGCAAACCATCCAATCCAATTCTATTACGCACAAGCTTTTCTACCAACATCAAAATATCTCCATTTAAAGAGCTACACATTGTCATCGACACATTCTTGTGTTCAACCAACAACCATTGTTCTAGAGTCTGGCATATACTGAGCACTTGTAGCTAGAGGTTTGTTTAAAGTGAGAAACTAACAGCATTGGGACCTTTTTGTGATCAAGACTTCAAACGCACGCTGCAACTCACAAGGTCGCCGAGTCGCAGAGAGCTAGACGGCCACAGTCCCGCACCGCCTCACGCTGACGCCTGTAGACCCGTCGCCCACGTGGGCCACACCATAGTGCATCCCGCCGTTGCTGAGTGCTGCCTGCGGCTTCTAGTCTTCTTTCCCGGCTTCTGGCCTTCTGCCACTTGCGGCACTTTGCACTCGCCTACATGCTGGTAATATAAGTATTAATAGCTTCAATGTTAAAATGAGTGTGTAAAAAGTAAAATGTTAATTTGTTTTAAGAAATTTTGAATAGATGTATATTAGTGAAGGTATCAGAGATAGATGAGACTACCAGACTACTACTAATATGTTATTCCCATCTCCTACTACCACTAATATGTTATTCAAATGTTATTATTATTGTCAATTTGCATTGTTGGTGTATTATTATATATTTTACTATGATATGGACATTGCTAGACTGCTAATAATTAAAATGTTGATACATGATCTTAATATAATGACCTTTTTATATCATTAATATTATTTTTAATATATCAACACAATTTACACTTTGAAAGTGACGGGTTACAATTATATAATTCCACTGCTACAATTGTCACTTAATGCCATCCATATTGATATTGTCATTATTATAATTTGACATTACGACATTTTTTACATTGTGACATGCATTACACGACAATGTAAGATAATGTCATTGTTTAAAAATCAATGTCATTATATGGCAATGTAACATAATGTTATTGTTTAAAAAATAATGTCATTATTTAAAAATCAATGTCATTGATAAAAATCAATGTCGTTACATGACATTGTAAAATGTGCCATTGTTTAAATCTCAATGTCATTGTACAACAATCTAATATAATTTCATTATTTAAAAATCAATGTTAAAAATCAATGATATATGATAATGTCAAGTAATGTCAATGCTATAAAAAAGTTTTCTCTCAATGTAAAATAATAGCAATTTGTACATGTGCCATCATTTACATAATTGACATGAGAAAAAACAAACTTGAAAGCTAAAATAACGAACATAAATCGTATAACTCAGTGGCTCGATGTTATTGCCAACTCCACTTCATTTCCCAAATTTCCCCTTCCCAATCTCAAATTAATTTCCCTTTCCACTTCCCAACTCTCAATTCCCATGCCAATGGGCGTTCAGCCCCTTCCCTTTTCCCCAATATCTATTAGGAGTGGGCAAATACCCAACCGGCATGGTACCAAACCGGACCGGTATGGTACTAGGCCGAAAACTGGATTTGAAACAGATCTCAAAATATTTGTCCCGAACTGGATTGTACTGGCTCCAAAAAATGCCATGATCGATTCTCATAAAATGAGAACTGGTACCGGACCGAACCAGATCAAAGTATGGTTTAATTATTTAAATGTACATTTATATCATTACTTTGATTAGTGTCTTTGCACTTTCACGGCATTTGCTAGTTTACTGGAAGTCTAGAACCGGACCGAAGTATGATTTAATTATTTAAATTTGTACTACTATTGTTTATCTAAAATTTATTATTTATGCAATATGGTAATTGATAAATTGTGTGGATTTTTGGAAAATGGAATAAACTTTACTTTCCCCTTAAACACTTGGGAAAAGAGACATTGTTTGGTATTGATATGATATGATATCGTCCCGTTGCAAATGAAACCGTACTAAATGGGTTTAGGTCTAAGACCGAACGATTCGGTAAAATATTGGACCGGACAGGATCGTGTCCACCGCTAATATAATACTCCCTCGGTCCCAAAATGGTTGGCCAAATTTCCTTTTTTGGTCGTCCCAAAAAGGTTGGCCATATCCATTTAAAGTAAGGAATATGTGGCTAAAGTTAATTCTCTCTCCTCTGCACAAATTTCAACCACACAGTTTTTACTTTATTGATCCACGTGCAAGTCTACATTGGCCAACAATTTTGGGACAGAGGGAGTATCTATGAAAAAATTTTAGTGTACAAAACTTGTACACAAGTTGTAGTGTTGTAAAAGAGGGGGAGGAGGAGGGGGAGGAGGGGGGAGGAAGAGGGGGAGGGGGAGGGGCGGAGGGGGAGGAGGGGGCGGAGGGGGAGGAGAGGAGGGGGAGGCGGAGGCGGAGGGGAGGCGGAGGAGGAGGAGGAGGAGGAGGAGGAGGGGAGGAGGGGGGGGGATGAGGGAGGAGGGGGGGGAGGGAGGGAGGAGGAGGGGGAGGGGGCGGGGGGGAGGGGGCGGAGGGGAGGCGGCGGCGGAGGAGGAGGAGGAGGCTACCGGTTCTGCCGTCAGCGACCCGCTCCGACGATGACTGGCACCTGCAATAACTTCGAACTGCGGCAACCTGCGGTGACCGACAATGAACGACTGAACGTACTTGACATGCGACCGGCTAGAACAATTATAGTCTTTGATAAATTTGGTGCTCATGTCCGATTTGGGAAGATCGAATAGATTGATGTCTGCCCTTTTTTTTTTGAATGAAATAGGCTTAAATTCAGTGGTGGAGTCAGAACTCAACCTATACACAGAATGAAAATTGTGAATCATTTTTAAACAATTTCCAAGTTAAATAATTCATATGAGGTTTAGACAAATAGGCACTGGTAGCAATAAGATAGATTGTTTTTGGCTCTGTTTCTGTGCCGTAACACGTAAGTATTGAGTGAATTATACGCTATTTTTAGTATTTGGGAAAATAATCTACAGTATGCATCAAATTTTGCTGATTTTACATTTAAATAGTGGTGATATTCCAGAAGTTATAACTTTTACTCGTAATGAGTTATGGGGGCCATAATATATCAAATCGAAGATATTTTAGAGCTCTATACTATCAAACTTTCAGCGGGGTCGGATGACTACCCTAACCACCTAGCTCCGCCCCTGCTTAAATTGATAACACATCATTCAGATAGTAGATAATCCGGAAAAAAGATTTTTGACAATCGCCATCCCGCGAACCAGACTCAGAGTTAATCACCTCATAGGAAACAATGCAACTCGTTGATCCATTAATGAGAACAAATGAGCCAAAGACGGTTGCCGCAATCCTTCCATCACCCACATCCAAATCCACAGTCTTACAAATACGAAAAACAAAAACAAAACACACAATAAAAAAGAGTAATTGTCACGGCCGAAAAAATAAAACAGATAAAAACACGTTGCTGTCCAAGCTTGCCGAACTGCACGAAGAACCAACAACTCTTCCCTGGTATCGACTGCAACACTTTCGGCGGACTTACCGGCCGATGTCCTCCCCTCCCCTTTTTTTTGTCCTGTCAAGAGCCATGTTATCCTATTCAAGCTTGTCTGCTCCCTGGGAATCCCAAATCCTTCTTCGCTTTTGTTCCCTCGATGCCTTTTCCTTTGTTTCAATTCCCCCACCTTTAGTTGTACTCTGTGCTGATTCTGATATAGACTCCTTCCCCCTTTCTCTCATCCTGCCATCTGACTTAATATCCCCCATAAACCCACGATCCCTGTCAAAGCTCGATGAACCCTCCACTAGCCATTTACTACCTCCTGTAGGGCTAGTCTTCACCAACCCCAAACATTTTTTCCAGAACAAGATCTTCTTCATAGGTTAATGGACAAAATTTATCTGAATGCCCAATTAAGTCACATATAAAACAAAAATTGGGCAGTTTTTCATACTTGAAATCCACCCAGTAACTCTTTCCTTCTTTTTTTAGGTTGGTACCATTTTTCAAAGGTTTATCCAAATTCATGCACACCCTGATCCTCATATACGATTCCCACTTCTCGATATTCTTATTATCATCATAATTAGTAAATTTTCCAATAAAATTTTCAACCCGTCTGGCAGTACCTATATTAACTAGGCTATATGGAACATTATGAACCTGAACCCAAAAGTCAGCCTCATTTACCACAATCTTATGCAGAATATCATCAGGTCTAATTTCTTTCTGAAGCAACATATTACGCTCAAATTGCCAGGGGCCGCCATCAAGCACACGATTCATATCAACACGGGGATAAAAAGTAAAAAGACACATCTTTTCGCCTACTTCTTTGATCGAAATTCCTTTTCCCGGCCTCCAAAGCGAGGACATGAGTTCTTTGAAGGTTGAGAACTTGACCTTCCTGTCCGTCAACAGCACACCCACCACCGAAAATCCCGGATTGTTCTCCGCTACCGGCACTTCCTCTGAATCGAACTCGTCCAGATCTATTGCTTCTTCCTCTTCCCCAATCGCCAATTTTTTTTTTGTATTTATCCATGAAACTTTCCATCCAAAGTTGCTGCCTTACCTTCCTTCCGGACCGCCGCCGCCACTGTACGTATCTCGTTTCGAATCAGCAAACCCTCGCCTCCACACCAAAGCCTTCGATCGCCGGTCTCAACCGCCTCTGTTCGACCGAAGCTCCTCCACACAACCAACAACCCAAAAAGAGGCAACGAAATCTGCTCCCCACGCCGGAAACACCAGCACCGCGCCTCGGTAAACCGATGGAGGACAAACCAAGGCTAAGGATTATCGGTTGATAACCCTAGAGAGAAGCTCCTCCGTAAATATAATAAGACGAAGTTATCGATGTCTGCCCGTTATAAATACGGAAATTCCTGGAAGTTGGAATATCCGAATAAGTAAGGGTGTTTTTGTCTCTCCGTTCAAAATTAGTCCTATTTAGGAGTTTCAAAGCTTCAAGTCCTATTTAGAAGGTTTTTGGATCTGATTCTTAAAACTGCTTTTGTCCTGCAAAGGAGCAGAAGCAGAAGTTGAAGTGTTGGATGAAAGTGCAAAATTACTTTTAGGGCTCTAATTTACTCAATTTTTTTAGAAGTTGGTGAAACTGATTTTGATCACGTGTTTCTCTCAAGTCTCTATAATCAGTTCCAAACCCCCCTTATATTCCCAACTCATCTTTTAGAAATAGGTCTATTTCACTTTAAAAATTCATGAATACTTCAGATATGGATTCACTATATTCTTATTCATCCGCACAACAATTTATTTGAGAAAATCACTGCAGTTTTTGGTTTCCGTTTGAACGACGCACACTCTTCGTTTCTCTCTGAAGAACTCTCTTGGAACCCTAATTCAAAAATGACATCAGATGGTTGGCTTTATTATACTAGATTCTCACCCGTGCGATGCACGGATGAAAATTTACCAATGTGTGTTTAAGAATTTTATTATAAAAACACATAAATAATTGAACTTAGAATAAAGTAATAAGTAATACGTAGTATAATAAGTGTTCATAGTCAAGGAGAGATATGACACCGTTGAAGAAAGAAAAATGTAAATATTATAAAAGAGATATAATATTTGAAAGTACAAAGTGATAAGTAAAATAGTAAGTGTTCATAGTGAACTACAAATTCAAAGAGACTTCTTTGTATACAATATTAGTAGTATGATCGAACTGTTTATCATCCTTATCACATATCAATATTTTCAACCCTTTGCGATTGATAACTCTCGACACTGCAACATATATTTAAATTTGATATAATTATAAATCCAAATTTAATACACCTTGAATTAGATGAAACCAATTCCCTACTAAAAGGAACTCAAACAAACTTAAAAATTTGTGACATTCGTAATTAGTTAATTATTAAGAATTATTGTTAATAATTTTAACAACTTTTAATTATTAACAATTAATATTAATAATTATTAATAAAAAATTGGATTTTAATAAAATGATAATTTTAATAGTTTAAGAATCAGGACCATATATTACCCAAACCAATTTCGAATCTGATTTAAAAAAGAATTACCGGCCCAATTACACAATAACCCAACCCAATAATCTGTATTAAATCTTGCCCAACAGCTTCAACCTAACCCGTACTATATAAACGACCTTTACCCTTCGTTTTTCTCATTTACCCTTCGGCATATATCACAGACCATCAGTTATCCTCTTCTACGATCTCATTTACCCTTCGGCATATATCACAGACCATCAGTTATCCTCTTCTACGATCTTCATCTACGTTTTACGATCTTCATCTACGTTTCATGATCTTCTCCCATCTTCTCCGACGTCTTCTGTGGTCGTCAGTAATTTCATACAACCACAGTCAATCGTCCCATTATTGTGAAGAGAGTGTCTATTTGTCGGATGAAGCCTTATTCGGCCATTGTTAAGGATCTGAGACCTAATTGTCCATTCATCATGTCGGTATAACTTACGCATTACTCTGTTTTATTAATTTTCTATTGAATGCACTTTTAAATCATTTTGTTTAATTTAAGGGATTTATTAATTCCTTAAAAATTTTCCAGTGTGAAGTGTGAAGTTAGTTGATGTTTGTCTGATCTGTCCTGTAACGAAGGCTTTGTGATAATCAAATGATCTTAAGCCTAATGAATCCTTTCATTATTTGGGTAGATCGTACAATATTCCTTTGTTTTTTGACTTTTATCGTGGATTATTGGACTCCTCCGGCGGAGCCTGAGCTGTACCGGTATACTACCTCCTCAGTCGTACAATATTCCGACTGTAGAGAACAACCTTTTCATATTTTCGACTCTATTTTTGGTGTTTTTCTATTAGTTCTATATATTAATACGATCTGAAACATGCAATTTATTTTGTTTGAATCTGACTGTAAAATTAATGATTTTTAAAGTAAATTAAATCAGTGATGAAGCCACAAATCTGTCTGTATATATGATTCTCGAGTACAGCTATGTCATTATATTATGTGTATCATATTTGTTTTTTAATAGACATAAACAGACGCATTTGATAAATATGGTCGGGATAATAAATATGCATTACATAAGTGACCAATGTATACTGATATCTCTCAAACATGCGATATTCTGTATCATCGTGTCACTCATTATGAGCAGAATAGACCGGTAGTAACCAAATCTACTCTTTCAACTGTTATATGATATAAACCTATTTTTCTCTATGTATATGAAGAAAGTAGTTTTTATTAACATATATACGTATTTGGATTTGAAGTGCTTCCCATTTTAAGTGAACTGTTTTCCCATGTTTTCCCATACGTAAAATTGATCTATGTTTATCACATTTATTATACAAATGTACCTGAATGTCGTTTGTAAACTGTAGTATACATGTAAATTTTCTGGGAAAAACTCTTGCTTTATACGTAGTATTTGATTGTATTGAACTATAATTAGATTTGTTGGCTGCCCTCTTCAATTAAATATCTTTTAATTCAACTAAATAGACTTATACTCCGTACATAAAATCATTAGAGTTATTGTTGTGTAAGTACACTTACTTTAAAAATGCTTTCAAATATCAAATACTTATATTCTTGAACTGCGTTGGAAAAGATGTACCTACATTCAATTCATTTTGCTTGTGAAATTGACATTTCATCTTAAGTTAAAACCCTATGCTTAAGTGTTTTTTCGGATAAAAAATAGTACTGATTCTTTTTATAAACAGGACATGTGAATCCAAGGATGAAAACAGTACTGATTTTTTTATACATGTGAATTCAGTACTATATTCATCTTGAATTCTTCCATTCCAAGAAGGCCTTCTGCTAGCCTTGGAGATTCAAATAAATTTTGTACTCTTTCATTCATATGCATTCAGCACAATATTTTCTCAGCTTGTCATTTTGGAAGATTGTGGGTGCTAACATTATGTGTAACATAACAGAAGGCCTTCTGTTAACCTTGGAAATTGGATTTGCTAACTCTTTAATATTAAACTCGTCAAATATTAGTCTTGGAAGATTCAATACTCTTTAATATTAAACTCGTCAAAGATTCATTTCTAAAATCAGATGCTTGCAAATTAGATTTGCTAACTCTTCAATATTAAACTCTGTTACTTTCAATGTAAATTAATATTTGAAAAGAAGCAGCTGCATTTCAAACCTAGTTTGAGCAAGTATATATGTATTTATATATAATGTTTATTATTAATTATATCCTTGTATGTTTTAAAGAAATGTTTGTTCTTGGAATATTAAGATGTTTTTTGTAAGATTATTTGCATAAATTATAAATATTTAATATGGTGATGTCTCCCAAGATCTAGTAAGCAAGCCCCATCCTGCATAACTTGTTTGAATTAGGCCACACCAAAATTTTAGTAAAACAGGTGGTGTTAGTTTTTGAGTTATTATAATTTACCTGGATTTCTCGTAGCACATCATGGATTGTTGTTATTATTGGTATATTATAACTTGTACACTTCAAGCTCTTTAACTTAAGACTTATCCATTCCAAGTAGTAGCCTCTTCACTGTAGTATGGATTCTGGTCCCCTGTCAAAAACATTTGATGTTAAAATTCAAATAAAACTAATGCCAAGCAGAATAGTAATTACACTGGAGCATTGTTTTTGAAGAAAGCATTACCTAATCGCTGAGATGGTGTGTGTTTGTTGAGGTGTTGAACTGCTAAAACATTTAGGGTATTTATAGTGGCATAAGCCTTGGTCTGAAGTCGTATGAGTGGTTTTTAACCAATGGTTCATTCAAACTCAACAATCTTTAGTCTAAGATTTTAAGTACATATCATTTAATGTTGTGTAGTACAAATGTACAATTCATTTAATGTTCATTTGATGATCTTATGCTTCAGATAGCAGCTTGTTCATAATACACAACATTAAATGCTACGGAGTATTACACAACAAATCAAGACTGAAAAAGCAAAAGCTTCTACTCTGCAGATTCTGAAGTGTGTTGTCCGTGACAGTCCATTAAGCCACACAGTCTGAATCGTTGACCACAGATCTTCAGTATTATAATAGTTTCTTGAGCCACACAAACTTCATTGGACATTGGCCCTTGTCCTATTATTGCAGCTCTGTTCTTATGACCCCTTGAGCCAACTTGTCACTTCTTTGCAAAAGTGGTTGAGCCAACTCTTCAGACCCGTTTGACTCATACTAACTTGTGACCCATATTTGACCCATATTTTGACCCGGTTTTTGGGCGGGAACACTGTTCATATTTCATTTTGCTTTTGTATAATAGAAGATTCTCTTAGCTAATTTGGACTGGACCAACAATGCCGACAACCTTGGCACCTAGTTGTCTTTACTCCCTTTTTTTTGCCGAGTTCTTTACTCCCTTTTATTTCATTCCTTTAATTTTATTTTCCTTTAATTTTATTTTCCTTAGTTTGTTTCTCGTTTCCACACAACCATCTTGTATCCAATCTTGACATGGAATCATAAAGTTGCTGTTTTTTTCAAAAAAAAAAAATAGATTCAAGAGAACAAATGGAGATTGCTTCATTGAAGCAGAACATCAAGCACTTGAAACTCACAGATACGAACAACTCTATAAATTCTAGTTCAGTAGAAGGAGACAATGGCTGTGGCGTGCAGATCACGTGCTTCTCTGAAGTCTCCCATGATGGTGTCGATCTCCATTTCCAGATCATTCGTCTTCTCAAACAGGTAAGTTCCTTTCGATGTTTATGTATGAACTCATCAGATGCACATCTGTAATTGACTGAAAATTGAAACACAGTGGAATTCAGAGATTTTGTGATTGCAAACACCGCCTCTTTATTACTTTTCTCTGGACTTTGCATTTTCAAATTTTGCCACTATCTTATTAGTCAGGATATTCACTGAAAAGTGAAAACCAAACTATTTAATAAAAGAAAGACTATAGATTCTTTGATTTTAATACGTAAAAGGCCTTCTGAAAATGGTCGGATTGTTTAATTTTTCGTCCTATGTCTTCACGGCATGTTTGGATTTAGCTGAGGAAGATTAGGGTAGGAGATTTTTTTATGAGATTTGGTACTGTGTGTTATTATTTATTATAATTATACAGTGTAATATTTTAAACTCAATTTAAACTCTTGTTTAGAATTAATAGTAAATTAGTATTTGAAAAATTATATTTGGTAATATATCATTATTTTGAAGATTCAATTTGACTAGCATATAGGGATCAAGAAGTTGAAAATTGTGTTGTTTTCCGCAGGTTGCCGCAGGGACCAAAATTGCCTATTATACTTTAGTTTTATGTTAAAGTTTTCAGCATCCTAGTGCTAAACTGTATTTCAAATGCAATTGGTCTGCTCTTTTACTGTATTTGGTAATTGTATACTGTGAGTAAATTGACTCCTATTCGATTATAATACTGACTGTACATGCAAATTGCTTTCTGCACGATTAGATATATGTATGGATAGGCTGCAATACTGCAAAATTTGGACATCTATATGCAGCTGGACCTACATGCCCTGTAAGGATCTTATTTACTTTTTGTGTGATGCTCCATTTTTACACTCTACGAGTATGTTGCCTCCATTTTTACTTTAATGATTGTTTGATATGAATTATACAAACTGGTATAAGTTGAAGATGCTATAGGGTTAAGTTATAACACTTTGGCTGAAGTAAGTTTCACACACACTAAAAGATATTCAATTGCAATTCGTCAATTAGCATGTCTTATCCTCTTTGACAATGTTTTGTTTCTTCTCTCACCTCATGATGTACACAGAACGATGCAGTTTCTGTTGCTTGCTTACTTGGAGGATCATCTGATAATACTGGATCTGGAATTGCACGTCGGTTAGGTAAGTATCAACTATCAATCCACAAAATCACGTTCATGATATCTTTTTGTATATATTTACGTTAAGATTTTTTTTTGCAGTTTTGAAGACTGGCCTCAATATAATAGTGGCTTGTAATATCCCCAAAAATAGCCCCATGCTTGAGGTATGTGATTCATGCCATCCCTCACATCCAAATTGGACCTAATTAAACTAACTAGAATACGGATTAATGGATTATATGAGTCTGCATAGATAAACAATATCTTCGATTTAATAAACTTGAAACCCTAGCATCTCATGGTTTAGTTGACAGATTAATCTATAAACTTGAAACTTATAAAACCCTATAGCTCAATTTTTAGAGGACATAGGGAACTTATAATACCGATAAAAGGAAATACATTTTTTAGAGGGAACTCATCACGGATGTAGTAGATCAACGTGAGATATGGATTACCACTCTCTTTTTCATCAACTCATAGAACAACATTGATATCCTGGAAGACATTCTAAGGGAGGGAACTGTTTTGGAAAGTATTTCTCAGATCATTCCATATATAATTCCTTTCTCAGCTTTCCTGTTGACTTAGCATAAACCTCACTCATAACCTTTGGCACATTGTCTAGGAATACCTGATAGACATCATTTGCTCACCGGTAGTCCCATTCCAGAAGTCTTTCCACAGGAACCAGAAATTTATGGTTGGGATAAGAGCAATATTTTTGAAAATGTAGTTATTCAGTAAAACCTTCAATTTGGTCAGAAGGTACAAGTTGTTCAGCAACAATCAACAACCAATAGCAAGAGTTGCAAGTTGCAGCAAGAATTTTGAGTCTAATGAGGGGGAGTTAGTTGCCCCTTTCACCCACCCCCACCCCCACCCCTGTAGGTCCCTGGAAAATACTAAGGAATGGAAAGAAAATGACAATGAAGCTTGTTTTTTTAGTACGTCGTATTTATAATATATAAATTATTTATTTAAAACAGAAAAGGAACAAAAAGTAAATATACATTTATTGAGTTCAGATCAATGCTTTATTTTTATCAATACTTCCTATCCTTCCAAATTCGCTCAATAACGTCCTCCCTGTTTTCTTTCCCCAAGTCTTTTAGGAGTTTTGAACAGCCCCTACATTTCCTGATTTTCGTACTTGCAGTTCTCATCATTTTTCCTTATTGTTTTCATATATGCACATTTTGGTTTTTACATTCCTGGACGTTGAAAACATTCCTCATGCTTTTTTTATGTACTCAGGCTGAAGCAGAGAAAAAGTTGATGGAAAAGCTTATCAGTCTAGGTTACACTAAGCCAAGATATCAAGCGCTCTCTTCACAATGAAAGAGATGATATTGTTGCATGGAGCTCTGAAGCTTGTCTACTAGTTGCACTGCTATCTTGACCATGGGTACCTCCTTGCTCTGGAGTTTCTTCACCTACATTCAGAGAATCATTAGAAGCATATATAAAAGTTTGAAGTGTAGATTGATAGTGGATTGTTTTCTTGAAATCTAAAGTTTTGTGTGTAATCGTATCATCCATGCGTTCTGGTAAACTGGTCAGTTGACTTGCTAGTTACTATGTCTAACTGTTTAATTGATAGCGGATTGTTTTCAATCGTATCATCCATGCGTTCTGGTACACTACTCAGTTCGCATACTAGTGCTAGTTATTATATCTAAGGGAAAAGGTGCAAAGCCCATGTACTAACAAAAAAAGGTCAAATAAGCCCTTATTTAGGAGACTCTGCCCGACCGTCGTCATTTGGGGTGGTTTCCGGTGGAATTTTTGATGAATTTTTTTGAGCATCTTATTCATCAAGTCTAGTTTACTCATATCAAATTTCAGCTAACAATTCAATCGGGAAGGCATTAAAATGAATTCTTGAAGATAACTGCGCTTTTTATTGCGCAGTTATCTTCAAGAATTCATTTGAATGCCTTCCCGATTGAAGTTTTAGCTGAAATTTGGTATGAGTAAACTAGACTTAATGAATAAGATGTTCAAAAATTTTCATAAAAAATTCCACTGGGAACCACCCCAAATGACGACGGCCGGACAGAACCTCCTAAATAAAGGGCTTATTTGATCTTTTTTTGTTAGTACATGGGTCTATTTGCACCTTTTCCCTTATATCTAAAGATGTTTTTATTGGACTTACTTCACTCTGAAATATGGCTGGACTCGGGCCGGTTCGGGCCTGGGCCCGGCCGGGCCTCAGTTCATGAAAGGGGAGGCCCGGAACCAGCCTGTGTAACCCCCGGGTCCGGGCCTCGGTTCAATTTATATTATTTTTTTTGCCTTTTCCTAATTAACCCCCAACCCTCCCCCTTCACCTCAAATGGCCCAAAATACCCAACCCAAAAACTAAAACAAAATAAAAAAAATAATAAATAAATTGGCCCGGACCGGACTTGAACTGGCTGGGCCGGTTCACCTTTTGAGGGGCTCGAGCCCGGACCGGTCCCTGGCCGGGCCGGCGGGTCGGGCTGGTTCAAACAGTAACCAGTTCGGGCCGGTTCCGAGGCGGGCCGCCCGACCCGAGTCCAGGCCTACTCCGAAATTAGACTATTCGACAACTATAGATAAGTTTATATCAGATTGTTAAACCAAACCAGACTAGACCAGAAAATTTCAATCCAAGTAAAAGCATTCTAACTACTATTATAATCCAATCGTATCATTTGGCTTCCTTTTTTATTACTCACTTCATTTCTTAATTAAGTTTTCCTTTTTGGGTATCATGTAGTTTAAGGATGTTTTAAATTGGATTGGAATTTTCTAATTAGACCTGGTCTGTTAAAGCCTAATCTCATTTGTCTAATCGGAGTTAGTCTAAATGTATTTTATAATCGTCAAAGTCTGGTATGGTTTGAGACAGCCGGATAGGGATAGAATTGGTTCCAATCCGGCCCCGGTCTTGGATCGACTCGAAGAATATGAGTCCCGGTCTGATCTCGGGTACATGGCCGGTCTCAGGTCCGGTTTAGGCACTTATGCCAAGTTTGACCGGCACGAAAATTAATAAAGTAAAAATTGTATGATTGAGATTTGAGATAATTAACTGGGAGCTCCTTTGGTAATACTAAAATTGGCTGAATTGTTTGATTCTGCTGAAACTTATGAAGTTCTGGCTGAAGTGGTTGTATTGGCTGATTCTGCTGATTCATGAAAAAATTATATTTAAAATATTTGTTATTAATAAATTAAATAAAAAATTATATGGAAAAATAGCTAAAATGTTTCTCTATAGTAACTTCAGCCAATACATCTATAAAAGTAACTCTAACCTTACTTTTTCTGCTTATATAAAATTCAGCACGCGAAATCAAAAGTTACGTGTTTGGTGAAAAAGTTGTGGGTTGGGCCGGGTAGTTCGGGATAGTGGTGACTATTTTCGTAGAAAAAATGATGTTTGTACCCACTCTTATACCCACTTTTGTACCCACCTATGTTTGTGAAGTGTTGTTTTTTGTCTGTGTACCCTGATTCATAGACAATATTTTGTACAAACAATTTTTTTTCTGTGAATCGGATATACAGACAAAACAAAACACTTCACAAACCGGTGGGTATAAGAGTGTGTACATTAAGTATTGTTGATTTCGATTGTTGATTTCGTGGCAGGGGACTAATATATGGATAAAAAATTCTATAGGTACCCCAAATTGTACCCCAATTTGTACCCACCCCCCTGAATTGCCTGTGTACATAGGCAATTCGTTTGAAAGAGGGCAGAACTTTCTACCCAAATGTCTGTGTACACAGACGGTGTACACTTTGGGGTACAAATTGTGGTACCCCAAGCAACTCTATATGGATTGATGGTTGTTCTCGAAAGGTGGTTGACTTTATGCTTGAGGGAGGTGTTGAGTTGGCTTAAAAGCGTATATTGGGACAATTCTTTTTTGGATATTATTATTGTTATTGATGATATGAGAGATGTTTATTCTAATTTTACTAGTATTTCATGATCTCATATGAAACGATCGGTGAATTAAGGGACTTATAAACTTATCAAAGACGTTGTTTAATCGTTGTATTTGACTTTTTTGTTAATCCCTTGATTTTTTGAACAATAATTTTATTAATAATATTTAAATACAACCTCCGTCACATAAAACTTGACCAACTTTTCATTTTTTGTCATCCCAAAAACATTGCCGTTTCCATTTAAATTAAAGTACTCCATCCAACCCTATATTATCTCCTTTGCCAGTGCACACAAATTAAGATAATGAGTTTTATGTGGAGTGTTGTGCAGAGGAAAAAAAATGTGTAAGAATGTGTAAGAATGATTGTGAACCACAAATTCTTTATAAAAAGAAAAGAAAAGATAATTTTGGAACGAATGAAAAAGGAAAGTTTGAACATAATATAGGGACGTATGAAGTAACAAATAGAGAAAATTGCTATTGCTAAGACAAAAATATAGGCTTTTCCCAAAATAGGACTTAATGTCTGGTTTTCCGTAAATAAGACTAACCTTACCTTTTTTACCCCTAATTCTATTTAATTAATTAATTGGTCTAAATAATTGCCCCCTAGTTTCCTTGCACAACCAAGGCAGTCCGTTGGTGGCGGGGCAGTCCGTGGTGGCGGCAGAACTCCGGCAGCCGGTCGGCGGTGGATTCCGGCGGTGGATTCCGACAATTAATTAACCCAATTAATTGCCCGCCTAGTTCTCTTGCACAACCAAGGCAGTCCGTTGGTAGCGGGGCAGTCTGGTGGTGGCGGCAGCAGATTCCGGCGGCCGGTGGTGGTCCGGCGGTGGTCCGGCGGCGGCAACAGGTGGTCGGCGGCAGGCAGTTAGCAGCAGTCCAGGGGCAGCAATAGGGGTATTTTGGTGCAATTACACACAAAAAGTCATATTTAAGAATTTTTAAACTAGTTGGTCTTATTTTGGAAAAAAATGCTATTTTTCACTCCTACTCCCTCCGTATCTATTTACTTGACCCACTTCCAGACGTATCAAAATAAATGTCTCATTCTCTTTTTGGAAATAAACCCACTCAAAAAGCAGCTACAGTATCGCTACAGTACTGTTACAGTACCACTACAGTACCACTACGATACCAAAAACCTTTCACTTTATATATATTTTCCTTAAACTACGTGAAAAAGCATACAAGTCAATTAAATAGATCCGGAGTATTAGGGTAAAAACCCCTGACAAATACTACGTACTTCCTATGTGAGTAAAGTTTTATGGAATGTAAGAGTACTTTTCTTTGTGAAAATATCTTCTCAATCATACTTGGAAGTTTCTCATACGCGTCCGTATATAACGATACAGAATTAATGAATTATAGAGACTTGTTTATCTATCCCAGCAAAATCTGAGCCTCAACGCTAGGATGAGCTGGGCTCTCGCTGTCACCTCCACTCACACAGAGACCGGCGTTGCAGCTACGGCTACCTATTTCTCTTTTCTGCTGTGATTTAGGTTCGGATTTGATTCGTCCATTTTGTGTCCGGAGGCGTTACTTGTCGAGCCATTTTATTTTATTTCTGGAATTTCTGGAATGTCGAGATTGAGGAATCTGGGAGCTGGATTGGCTCTGATGACGATAATTGGGAGCCTAACTTGCGTTGAAAGCAGCGCGACGTCGTTTTCCTCAATGTGCCCCTTGCGGAATTCGCTTAAAAACTCGATCTTGGGGTTCCACGATTTCACATGCCCGGTAGATGAGATCATGTTTTCTTATGCCGCAGCTGTAGTTGAGGTAAAAATCCCAACCGTACCCTGTCCTTTTTAATTTGTTTTCTATGATTTTCTTCCTTGTTTTTTTTGAAGAATTCGTTTATGTTTGGATTTTCTTCCTTGTTTTTAAGTTGGTGTACCTTATTAATATTATTTGCCTTTATAATGATCTATTGGATTGTCTGTGCATAACATAAAATCGCAGGTCAGAGCGCTGCTAGAAGTTGAAACAAAACGAGTTTTTAATCAATATGGTTTTTTCTTTGGTATTTTTTGTTTAAATCTGCTTAGAAGAACAGAATAATTTTTTCAATGCACTTATGTATCTGAGAAATGATAGTCTAAAAGACCAGGGTAGCATGAAATCCGGGTGTGAGTTGAAAAATATGCCAAGTATAAACTAAGTAGCTAAAAAGAGAGTTTTGGAAGGTATATTTATAGTGCAAATGGTAAATACTTGGGGAATAAGTGAAATATCTCGTCTAGTGATATTGTGCAACGTGTAAGGCTTGATCGGTGAGAGAATCCTCGATTGATTGGTACTGGTTGTATGGAAGATTATTCCTTTGCTAATAGAATGGCTGGATAAACCACATGTGTAAGTCTGGAAGCTGGTTGCTGTAACGGAATGAGTGGCGTCTATAGAAGAGTCCAGAGAAATCAAGAGAACCGTTACATAAGCTTTAGAATATATTTAAATTGTCAGTTACAAAATCATTGTATTTAATATACAATAGTCTAGAGACTAATAAGGTAGCCTACTAATGATATATTAAATACAATGATTTTGTAACTGACAATTTAAATATATTCTAAAGCTTATGTAACGGTTCTCTTGATTTCTCTGGACTCTTCTATAACGTCAGCCCCCCTAGTTGAGTGGAATGTTAGTGTTGAAATGACCAAGTCCACAGTATTTGTCTGAGGTCCTGAGCTCGGCTCGGCCTAGGCATGGAGATGTATTTCCTAGAAATAAATGCTAGGCTCAGAGGATGGGAAGCTCGACTCATGTGATGGAGCTCAGCTCAAATTATGCCAAGTCCAGAAATGTCGAGGTTCAGCTCGTATGTACCAGGCTCAACTTGAATGGTAACTGGGTGTTGTCATGTTGATATTAGGAATCTGACATCGAATTTGACCTTGGGCTCGGCTGTTGTACTGGAATTGACTTTGACCTCGACCAAGAGTCTGGATTGGTCTCAAGTGCAGTTTTGGGATGATTTGAGAACTGGTTTTGGGCTCAACTGGATACCCCTAGGGGGAGGGGGGGTGACCATATACTCCATCAATATCATTTCTGGTTGGGTGTAAAAATATGATACTCGTACTGCTTCACATCTATTCCAAAGGTCACAGATGTTATAACATCTTTGATTCCCATCTAATAAAATAGTTAAATGCTATGGTTGGATATTGATTTGCATCATTTCATTCTTTTGTTACTTAAGACTTACTTGGCACAGGTACATCTCTAATTTGTTTATGACATATCATAACTGAATGTACCTGGTACATCACATTATAATGCAGAACTAATTATTAGCATGATTTATTATGTGTAGTTAATTGATAACAACTTCAGTCATGCATAGGCCTCACTTTCTCTCTCAATCAATAAAATATAATGATCAGATAGTGACCAACTTCCCAAAATCCAATGGAAGGGGCAAGTGGGCAACAGATGTTTGCTTGATATAGCCCCTTTTCACAATTTATTTGTTTTAGCATTGAATGATCCTTGTTTGGAATACAATTTTAGACCGCTTCATTTGTTTTAGGCCGTTCCTTTTCAATACTATGATATTTTCAATGTATCATGATCCTTGCTACCTGTATCTAATAGCAGCCACCAACGTTACAAGAAAAGGGACTGCACAGTGCTTTGCTTAAAATAGCTACCATTTCACTTTTAATGCTTGTACCTTATAGTCACGTAATTTGTCTCATGTGTCTTATTGTTTTAGTAGCATCAGTATCCTTGTTGACTGTTTAGTCTCACAAGAAATTTGAAAGGGGAAGACATCTGAGGGAAACAAAGTGGAATAAAATCTATCATCACCCTTGTTCAATTCACATTTATGGTGGCCAAAAAGCTTTTATATGCATCTCAATCACATTAGTTATCAATGTTTGGCTCAAAGTTGTAAATCCACTATCACAAGTTTAAAAAAATACATGTCTTGACTAAAATGTGCAGCAACAGGACAATTAAAAGTGTTTTCTAGGAATGAACAAGATGGGGTGAAAAGATCAAGTCACACTTTTTTACAGGAAAACGAATACTTTGAATTAGCCCGAAGACTTCCGTTTCTCAAAAGAATCATTACCCTCTGAAGTTACATTTTCTTGTTTCAGTTTCTACTTAATTAGCCCCTCATATCGTGAGACATATGGTGTCTCATTGTCGCTATAGTTAGTAAATGTTAAAATGCTATATGATCCGATGAAGTTAATGTGACATATACTCGAGTTCCTCCAATGATGATCTTAATGGATCTATTGAATTGTAACTGTGCTCTATATTCATGGCTCCCTTTAAGTGCCAGAGTCTGTTTGTAGTTGAGTTTATCTTGAACAGTTCAGAACCATTCTATGTTAAGATTTCATACATCTAGACCCCATAGTAAAATTGTACTCCCTCCATCCCACTATCTTTGTTCTTTTTTCTTTTTTCATCCCCTACTAAGTTCATTCCGTACCATAATTGGTAATATTTGTGTGGTTGTAATTCATTCTTATTTTTTCATACTTTAGAAATTTAATATCAACAACATGATTTTACTTTTCTTAATAATCATGTCACTTTTTCAAGTCTTAATCTTCGTGGGTGGAGGATGTATTTAGTACAGCTGTTCAAGTCCAATCTAGGTGATTTATTTAAGTTGGCTTTGAGGTTTTAACTTTTGAAACCATTTCTTTTGCCCAACGGGCATTTTGCTTTAGAGCCCGTACACAGGTATGTTGGAACTTGAAAGCTTCTTCAATGGGCGGAATTTGACTTTTGATAAATTAGGGTACATGTTCATTTGTAAGTTTCAGTTTTCAGCTAAAGTCAAGATATGGCAAAGAAAATGTGTCAAATGCTACGTATTTTACACTTTTACATCAAAATTGTGAGGTGGGAAACATGCTTATGGTTCAAACAGAAAGGACACTTCGCTGTAAGCAAGTCAGCATTGAGCCCTTAAATTTTAGGTGGAGTAAATGTGGCACGAACTACAAAATAAATAGTCACTTCTGCACTTAGCAATTGTTTGCCCTCATGCACATATTAATATATTATGCTAGAGTGAGTGGTTAAAAAGGAAAGGAAGACAAAATACGACACCAGAATAATGTGTGATTAAAGTGTACTGTACATCATTCCTTTCTGACAAGGTTGAGAAATATTTTGTTTGTTTCTTTGTTTGTTTGTTTGTATATTTTTCTATTTGGCTGTATTGATTGTAGACCTTTTCTCTTTGCATCTTCAATAGAAATTATAACTGAATTTCACATTCCTGTTGTCAAGGGAAATGAGATGATATTGCAGAGGGCATTGCGTACGATTAACCAGAGATCACATAATTATGCTGTTTTCCTCTTCTATGCGTCATGGTGTCCGTTCTCTGAAACACTTAGACCAATCTTTTCTGATTTATCTTCTCTGTTCCCCTCAATTCCCCACTATGCAATTGAAGAGTCAGCTGTCAAGCCAAGGTCAGAGAACTTACAACCGCTTCAGAATTAATTTATATCACATCTTGTTAAGTAGATGAAACCTGACTTTGAAATTTGCAGTACTCTCTCAAAATATGGAGTGCACGGGCTTCCTACAATCTTAATTCTGAATTCTACAATCCGTGCTCAATATCATGGCCACAGGACCCTTGACTCTTTAATTAACTTCTATGGTGGTGTGACTGGTAAGATGTTATTTGCAGCAGATGCATATTTTTAGTCCATGAAAGCATCACACATTTTGTATTAGATTCCTGCAATTTTTTCTTGCTTTTCATAAAACAAAATTCACTATATATATAGGGACTAAAACATATTCAGGTCTATTTTTAATCATAACTTGATTTGAGTAAGTTATACAATTCCTTTTTCTCCAATCTATAATTAGTCTTACAAGATTTCATTAGCCAGAATGATCTTTCTATCATGACCTATGTTTTTTCTTTATTTATTGGTGTGTTTATTTATGTTAGCCGACCTCAATATCTTTTGGGACTAGGGCTTGGATGTTGTTGTATTGGTGTGTTTATTTACTTATCAATATTAATTTATCTGCTGCAAAGGTTACAAGACACCACCAGTAGATGTCATATCCCTAAACAAGGTTGGATGTTCTCGAAACCAGCACATTTATAATAGCGGGAGTGAACCAGAAAGTTGCCCATTCCCCTGGGCAAGGTCTCCTGAGAACTTTCTTCAGCAGGAAACGTACTTGATGTTGGCAACTGTGTTTGTTCTCCTAAGATTGCTGTATGCCCTTTTCCCGTATATCCGTAGGTTTGCTCATTTTTCTTACACGAGATACAACATGAGGATAAGCTCCTTGTGGGAGCATCCTCTGCTCTACCTGCACCGAGTATTCCAAGTATTTAGTTCATTGAAGGAACCATGCAAACGGAGCAATTTGCAGGAAGGAGCTATGAATGCTAAGGTATGGGCCTCAAAGTCTCTAGCTTCTGTTTCATTTGGCGAGGCCAGCTCAAGTCGGGTTGGACCAGTGAATTTAACTCACTGATTAATTTGGTGGTTCTATTTCTTTTAGAAACACCCTGATATTTCCCATTGGGATTGGTTTCATTGTTGACAGGAGCAACCATTTTTTTCTCCGTTTTATTATTTCGTTGTCCAAACAACATACACGACTCAATCAGTGTACTATTGTAGATTAGTTTTCCTTTATGTGCCATTATTGAAAGATAATGTTAACCTAGTGTTAAACTGTTTGTATAGAACATTTAGCTAATGAGCTAAATTTTGTACTTTTAGACATTTGTTGAACTGTGGTGCAACGGTGTAACTCGTTTTTCGTGTTTTTTATCTTCTTATTACATAAAGTTTTATGATAGTCACGACTCACGAATGTGTTGCTATTGCTATCTTAACATAAGAGCCTTTCGCTTACAAGTGAACATATAATAATTATAAAAACAATCATTATTGTGCTATTTGTGCATACTTTACCATCCTTCACACAAATTATCTGACCTGTCAAGTAAGTTGTTGTATGCATGTTTGTGAAATAAACGAGTATCACAAACAAAAAATGTAATACCTCCGTCCTATTAGACATTGACAAGTTTGTGTTACATGTGAAAAAAAAAATTGTATGGTTGAAGTCATGCAAAGAGAAAAATAAACAGAATTATAAATTATTTAAATTAAATGGAGTGACAAACACGAACAAAAAAGGAGAGGTCACAAAACTCACAAAAAATCAATCGGTACATACTTTTGTACATTCCCCCCTGTGTATACAAGGCTACAAGCAGTTCGTTAAGAAAAATGCAGGATTTGTCTCTCAATTCCATGTGTACACCGACAGTGTACAAAAGTGTGTACACCAAGAGGGACTCTAAAACTCGATAGGACGGACTACGGGGGGAGTATGTCACAAGCATTGATTTGTGGAACACATATCTCAGTATGTGCGGACATTACACAAATTAGCACTCAAATCGACGCTAATGATCACGTATATGGACTGTTGGTGTTTTCACACAAACGTGCTTTGTGCGTGCACTACACTTACTTAAAATAAAATGATTGTTGGTGTGAAACTACTGTGAAAGTATGTGCAGTATATTTTAAACTTTTTAATGTTGATGTATACTTCGTATCTTATATGTAGTGGTGGACTGACCGGGCCGGTTCGGGCCTCGGGCCTAGGCCCGGCCGGGCCTCGGTTCAATAATAGCAGGCCCGAGCCCGAACCGGGGTAGGGCGGTCCCGGGTCAGGTTCCGGGCCGGTCGGGCCACCCGTTTTTTTTTTTTTCCTTTCTTCCCCCCCCCCCCCACCCCCCAAACCCCCCCAAACCGGCCTAAACAGATAGCCCAAGCCCAATAGCCCAAAAAAAATGAAAAAAATTAAAAAAAAAATAGATTTGGCCCGGACCCGGGCCCGAACCGGCCGGCCGGGCCGTCAAACCCATGAACCGAGCCTGGAACCGCCCCACCCCCGGGCCTCCGGCCCGAACCGGACCCGGAAAACCGGGCCGGGCCGGGCCGGGCCCGCACAGTAGCGGGTCGGGCCGGTCCCAGGCCGGGCGGCCCGAACCGAGGCCATGCCTACTTATATGTAATCCGTATTTCCGTATGGAGTCTATGGACTATGGAATAACTTCTAAAACTTTACTGGTTTTGCTGAAGTCATCGATTACCAAAAGTCCAAAACGGTCTCACGCTATCTAAATCAGCCATAAACACGGGTCACTGAGTGAATGAAGAATAGCGTGTTCAACTAAAAAGAAATAAAAGACAAAGAAAAAGACAAAGCATGGAGTCTTCTCCCCCTCTTTAGCTGCTCCAGGGCCAATAAATCATCCGGCCAATCACACCGAGCTCCAGCTTTGCCAGCATTCTCAACTCCAACTGATCCGGGTCACATTGTCCCTGGAATCTTAATGCTTCATGACTAGAAGCCAAAGCAGACAGGCCGGCGGGTGGGCCTGTTTCACATGATCACACTAAATTATAAGGAAATCATAGTTACTTAGGCACATGATCTTTTTAATTCCTCCAGATACAAGCAAAATTCATTAGACATTCAAGAAAATTAGGCAATATATTTCACTGAAATTTGAAGTAGCAAATATAATAATGCATGGAGATGTTATATACAAAGGCAATATTGAATCTAATGTTTTACACAAGTTCACATGCTCTCTCTAAAGTTTCACATTCACTTTCTACTACAGGAAAGTTTGTCTACAATGAAAACCAAACAAGGTACAGGGAGAAATCCAAAAAAAAATGTACGCTTTGATCATTCAAGGCATTTATTTCTGCAAATCGATGTGTAGACTTGTAGAGTCTTCAACATTATCAAACATGGAAGATCCGAAGATTCTTAACGAGATGAGATCTTCTCTTCCTCCAACATTGTCAGCCCTCAAATTACACAACCGAAGGGGGAACGTACCAGGAATCACAAATTAGAGGCTAATAAAATAATTGTTTTGTGATACAAGTAAAATGAATTGCTGACCTCTTTGTAAAACTCCCAAAGAGATCAGAGTACCTACTGTGCTGTGATAATAAGATTGGCAAACCAAAAAACATCCATTCCACTTAACAAGCGAAAAGAGCCAAACAGTTTCTATTACAATGTCATTCAGAAATTCATTCTCTTCACCTTCCGTAGTGCCCAATGCAAAAATCTCAGTAACATTGAAGCATGTAACATAGTTCTCACTAAAAAACAGAACTTTTTATTTAGCAGAACCAAGAGAAACTTGTCCAATGTCTTTTGCTGTTCTTGAAGTACATGATCCCCATGAGATATTTGAAGTTTTGATGACTTCCTCATGACATTGTCCACCAAAAAGATCCAATAAGAGAAAGAAGTATGTACGGTGGCAACTAAACCAAATCAGAGCAAAAGTATGGCAAACTTAAATCAGCTTCTCACAGTCCCAGGGCTGAATTGTGTGGAAAAGGAATCCTTTAAGTGGATACTACAGACAAGCAGCATTGTTCAGTAGCTGATCGCCTTTGGCTCAAAATGTCTTTCTCAATTTCCTTTCATCAGTGAGTCATCCCAGAAACCTGCCATGTTCTCTAAGAACTGGCAGCCACCCGAACTAGACACACTTCTATCTATACTATATAGGATTGTAACACCCCCAAAATTCTTACCAAAAATACATACTATAAATAGTAGTTTAGTAAAACATTCCCCAAATGATCAAATTCAAAATAATTTATATTGCAGCGGAAATAAAACTTTCTTTGGGTGTTATTGCCACACTTGGTTCTCACATAACAGCAGGCTAAACCACAATTCAAAATAAACCCAAGTATATAAGAAATTAAATCCGAAACGATTTAGTTGTCCCAGTTCTCAAACTTCAAATTTAAAAGCATATGTAAATAATGAGATTCGGGAATAAGGGTAAGCTAAGCCCCAATTTTATAGGACCATATGAAATCCTTGAACGAGTGGGAACTTAGCTTATCATTTAGTCTTACCAATCGAGTTGGATACGGGACGAAATTATCTTTCATATTCATTCTTAGATTCGACGCTAGGATCTGAATGGAAATTTTTCTTCTTATTAGGTACATAATAATGTGTTCCATGTCTCGCAACTGAAGAAGCACATGCACGATGCTTCTCATATCCTCAAACCGGAGGTAAACTCCTAACCTTAGAACTCATAACATTTCAAATTAGAATTAGCTATAACCGATGCGTATGGACGTGTAGGTGATTGAGTTGGATGAGACGTTATCTTATGAAGAAAAGTCGGTGAAAATCCTTGATACTAAGACAAGAGAGACTAGGAGGAAGAGTGTGAAAATGGTAAAGGTGATGTGATCTAACAACTTAGCTCAGAACGCGACATGACACACTGAGGCGGATATGCGTGAGTGCTATCCGGAACTCTTTCAGCAAGATAATGACTTATACTGATGATCTTAGTTTTGTTTGGTTTGAATTTCAGCAACGAAGCGTCCTTTGAGTGGGGAGAATGTGATACTCCAAGAATTCACGTTAAAATTAAATTAATTATATTTAATTAATTGCAACATGAATTCTTGGGTTATCACAAACGTCTTGCCATATTCCAGCCTGACAAACCTTAAGGAACACTGGAACAGACTACTACTCCACAGGTGCAGAGTAAATCAAATAACATGACTAACAGAATACACCAATGAAGTGAAATAAACTGCTCTCTGAGGCTTTTTTGGTTAGCCTGAAGTGGTCTAAATTGTTAAATTTAAGTTTTAAATAGCTAAATAATCATAAACTAAAATTAAAGCATATCTCTCGAGGTAATGTTGAGGTAATTTTGTAAAATAAATTCAATATCCATTTACTAATTGGCTATTTGCTTCTATGATTTGATTTCTCTTCTATGTATGATACTACGAGGGTTTTATTGTTTGGTTTCTCGCAAGACTATTTACTTTCATTCCTTTTCAATCCGAAAAATGAATCATAGATATAATATCTCATGTGAGTCATGTCTCAATCTCTGTTTTAGTATGTACATGCATATGCTCAGATGATTGCTTCACAGTCTTCTAACTCAGCTAATTAGACAATATGTCTGATTCTTCTCTTGTCCCTAGTTGTCATTTTCTCACCATACCTTTGAAATATATCGGCCAAATCAAAGGAACCAACCTCTCTCAGTTTCCTGGCCATCACCTCAAACATGACCTCCCCTTCTTCGTTCGAAAAGCAATGCAAAAACTTGTTGTAATCAAACCTCGGCACCTCAATCTTCCGGAAAGCCAATCTCTCTGCGTATTTCGTTGCCTCTAACATCTTCCCCGCCTTAACCAGGCCTCCCACAAAAATGGTGTCAAAGTTCACCAATGGGTCTCGCTCTTTCCTCCCTCTCCTCCCCAAGTGCCCCTGCAACAACATTATATAAGTATGCATGGTCGGTTCACAACCTCTACCGATCATCTCCCTAAACACTTGCGTTGCCTCCCTTGGCCTTTTCAACCTCAAGAGCCCTTTGATCATACCGTGGAACACCATTACATCCGGCTTCTTAATTCCACCCAGCACCCCATAGGCCTCCCTCACCCTTCGTTTGCAAAGAAGCCCATAAATTATTGATGCTAATGTTGAATGGTCTGGTTTAATCCCTCTCTTGCACATTTCCTCAAACACTACATAGCTCTCCCCGATCTTTCCCTTCTTGCACAGCCAATTGATCACAAGCCTATACGTAGGCAACCCCAAATCGTCCATTCTGCTTGTTCTCATGGATTGTAAAAGCTTCAATGCCTGACCATATTCGTTGTTCTTGAATAGCCTATCCATCATCGTCTCAACCGACTCAATATCAGCCTCAAAACCTGAGTCAATCATTAAATTCCAGATCTTGGAGGCTTCAATTGTATCCCCCACATCGCAAAATCCATATATTAGCCATCTATAAGTAATCACATTGGGCTGTATTGAATCTTTCAATTTCATAACCACATGTTTAGCTTCTTGGACAAGCTTGTCTTTGCACAGAGCCTCCACTACCTTATTCAAAGCACCCACATTATACTCATACCCGAAACTGCTCATTATGTGGAAAATTTCAACGCATCTCTTCAGCTCCCTAGCTGAAGCTAGGGTTTTCAAAGCGATTACATATGTTTTTGTGGTAACTGCACGGCGTCTCCCGATCTCATGGAGTAAATCCCATAGGAGATCGATGTTTCTCGACTTTCCGATGACGTCGAGCATCTTGTTGAGGGTGGTAGGTGTGTGTGAAAATCCGGGCTGGGTCACCGCAAACTCGTGAAGCTTGTAGATGGGTCTCCATGAGTAGGGGAACTTGTTGCATACCTGGAGGAAGAACTCATGGGTGAGGTCGAAGGACGTTTTCAGGAGGCTGTTGTGAAGTTTCTCGACGGAGGAGTATTGTTGCTGGTAGAGAACCGTGCAGACTCGGAGGATGAGGGCTTCATTGATTGGTGTAGTGTGGTGGAGAGGTTGTGATAGGGCAGTGGAGGTGGAGGCGGCCGCGGCGGTTGATGTTTGAATTTGCTGGGGGTAGAGATAGAAGAGAGGTTTGAAAGATGTATGTACTGTCAGTCTCAGCATTTTGGTGGGAAATCGGAATGATCCTTCGCTAACCGACTGAAAAGTGCATAGTTTGAGACTAACTGTAACCAAACAGAACCATTAATTTTGTGACATGTTGGGCAACACTGAAATTAATACACAAAGAAGAAGTGAAATTACAGAAGTAAAATAGTCATTAATACGGAGTAGCAAAGTCAGTCGATTCATCTAAAAAGTAATTTTAAACATTTATTTTGATTATGATGGATGTTTAGTTTGATTATAATTTAATTGTTTGGTAAAAATATTTATTGATAAAACTGGTAAGTGGGATAGATAGACTACCAAATGAATCTTAAATTTAAAAAACCTGAATGATTTTGTTTGTCTTATATGCTCTGGCGGAACAAGGACTGGTGACTTGGGGCACATTAGCACATAAATCATATAGTAGTATATTTGATCTTTTTTAACATTATTTTCATCGTTAGGGATGACTTTATCTGACAAAGAAATTAAATTATTCAACGAAAAATCATCGATGCTCGGCCGTTTAGGTTTCGATGTATAATATCCTAACATAGCGCAAACAACCTAACATACTACAATTGAAATAAAATAATATGAGTATAATTGTAAAAATTACATTTTAACAAATTAACAATGTTAACTAAACCAACAAATCCACAATTACTAATTTACAATAAAATTAACATTTTTAATGAGATTACCAGAATATAATTGACAATAAAATTCAACAAATAAAAGTATTCAACAATTAAACAATTAACATTTTAGTTGAATTCAACAAATAAAATTCAATAAATCAACAATTTTATAATGAAATTATCATAAAAATAATTAGTTTAAGGCATTAAGAGAATACGAGGCTTACCTGGAGTCTGGAGATGGGAGCACCGGCTGCACCGTCGCACCGGAGATTATGCCGGAAATCAGAAGAACTGAAAAAGGTCCGAAGGGGAAAAGGGGTGGTCATCCGCGGTCGCCGTCCGTGGTCGCCGTCCGCCACTCCGGTCTCCGTCGCTCGCTTAGTCGATGCTGTGCGCCTGTGCTGTTGATTGTACGCAGGGGCTGAGGGGCTAAGGACGAAGGGGAGTTGGGCTGCCAGTGCTTCACTTGGGTAGATGGCCCGTCTGCATAGGGCTAAGGGGAAGGGGAAATGGGTAATTGGACCTGGGCTGCAGGGGTACAAACATAATACTATCACTCGTTCTTTAAATTTTGCAACAATTTAACTTTCACGTTTGACAACGCACAATTTTGACAGTAATTAGATTTAATTAGTTATTACTTCCTCCATCCCAATTTGATGTTCCCTTATTTTCTTTTTGGGATGTTCCAAATTGATGTTCCCATTTCCATTTTTAGCAAATAAATTGATGTGCAATTTCAATTTTACTCTTCTCAATATCTTCAATCTACAACTTTACCAATGGAAGGTAGCAACACCGTACCAAGGCAGCCTTAGGGAGTGTTTGCAATTGCTTCAACTTTAAAAAAGTGATTTTTTAAAGTAATTTTGGGAAAAGTGATTAATAATAAAAGTTGGTAGTGTTTGAGAAAAAAGTGATTCTCAAAAAGTAAAAGTTGTTAGTGTTTGGTAAAATAAATACTTTTTGTGTAATAGAAAAAGTGAAAAGCAATTTAAAACACTCTTCTACGTGCTTCCAGCTTTTAGCTTTTAAGTGATTAATTTAAGCAGAAGCTCTCATTTGAAAACACTTTATTCAGCTTTTTTTAGCCAAAAGCCGAAAAACACTTTTTTAAGCAACCGCAAACACTCCTTTAACTTTCCACTGCGTCTTGCTGTCGACGATCGCGTCCGGCGAATCAGCATCTCAGCGGCGGCGACTGCCACCGCTCACAAATCAGATGAGGCAATCGAGTGGCTACTCCAACAAGCTGAGCCGTCCATGACTATAGCCAGTGAGACCAGGACCAGTCCGGTGAACTTCAATCTCTTAATTTCTTCGTCAAACGCTCTGCGTCAACCATGTATGCAGTTTGCATCGTTGCACATGAGCTAATGGAAAGGAAAACGCAGACCACTCGTGGCCCCTGGGACGAAAAGAAGTGATAAAGAATAAGGGCAATTTTGGAAATTCCCTACTTCTTAATCTTTGTGGCCAAAAGAAATGAGAACATCAAATTGGGATGGAGAGAGTAGTAAATACTCCCTCCATATCACAATTTGTGTCTCACTTTTCTTTTTTAGTCGTATCAAAATAATTGTCTCACTTCCATTTTAGAAAATAATTTCGTCCCAAAAGTAGTTACAGTACACTTCAATAAAGTAAACATTACTGCTACACAGGGCCGGTCCTGTCCAGTTTTGGACCTATGGGCGATATACTATATTTTGGCCTTAAAATAAAAATTACGGAGTATAATAAAACTAAGAGAAATTACTGTAAATACGACTAAAAACGTTTGTATATTCCAAACTAAGATTATCATGTTTTTGTTCTCTCAATAGTACAGTAGTAATTAATGTCATATTTTGGGAGTATCATGTTTTACACATGGTAGTATTTTTCGAACATGACAGTAATTACTCCTATTCAGAAAATAAACACATAACAGTCCTTTTTTGAAATTCTACAAAAAAAACTACTCATATCTATTTTGAATTGCATATTTGGACAAAAGTAACAACACACGTATCACAAAAGAACATTGTGAAGTAAATCCATTAATAATTGCTTTATATTCAATCTTTTCCAAGATCACATGTACAATGGTTAAAATTGCTAATCCATTAAGTTTTTAAGGCATAATAAATAATTGGGATGATGTTTGAGAATTGGGAGGCACCGGCAGCCCAAATACAATAATATAAATTTGTAATTTTGTAATTAAAAGAATAAAAAATCTTAAAGGCTAAAAAGATGTGAAGGGACGTGCTTTTATTGATTGAACAACAAATGTGTTGACTTACAACCAACTCTATTTAAAAATCAAAACTAAATTTATATTCTTTCTAAAAACATGTCTAGCTTTGTTTAAGACCTTTTACTTATGTTTTAAAATTCTCAAATTGTCAAGAAAAATTACACATTAGACCTAATTAATTAATTGAAATTATAAATAAAAAAGAAGTTTACTCATATTACATATAAAGGAAAAAACTTGGGCCTAATTTTCTTTTTATTTTTTTTTTTCGGGCCTAGGGCGGTCGCCCCTGCTGCCCTCCCCCTAGGACCGGCCATGCTGCTACAGTACTAAAAATCTCATACTTTTATAACAAATTGTACAGTAAACATATAAATTATCTTTAAATACGTGGAAAGTCTATTGGGACTCATTATGATACGAAGTGAGTACTATAAAAATTTAATGTTTGGGAAATTCACATTAATAGAAATTTAATACGTAACATTTTATTAAAAAGTACTAGAAATTTATTTTATATGTAACATTAATAAAATAAATTTTATTATATATATTAGCAAAAAATCATGTTTAAAGTAAGGTGTGTGAATAGTGCAAAAAACTAAATGTTGCAATTATTAAAGAATCGAGGAAGTATGTGTATGTATATATTTATTAAAAAGAAAATTGAAACTGCAGCCCCCCAGGCCCTAGGATGGTTCCACTCTAGATTATATGTAAATTAAAATGGCAGAAAAGAAGCTAAAATTTTAATAACGTTGTAGTAATAATAAGAACCTGTTTGGTGATCCTGTTTTTCGGCTAATCAACTTATGAGTTAACTTTTCACCTAACACTGCATGTAATTAATACGTACTACGTAGTATGTTTGAGCATACAATTTTGTCCACCCTTAATTTTTGGATGATGGCTCACAACGAATTTCTTCTATCTCCTTTAAATGTACTACGAACCAACCTAAGCGAGGCGGGTCTCATTCCATAATTCCATTTTACCCAATAATTACATTTTATTTATATATTTATTATTTATTTTTTCTTATTTTAATTTCTTTGCATGATCTTTTTGCATGGTGTTTCAATAGCTGAAATAATATTTCTAATAATTATAATAATAATAATAAAAAAAATACTCCGTCGTCAAAACACTTTTCTGTTTATTTGTTTTTAGAGTACGTACGTATTCAATATTGTAATGCTTACTACATCGATCATAAATATTACGTAGTACTTCATACTTTTTCTTGTACACGGTAGCTTAGAAAAGTTCACCCATGGAAAAAGAGCAATTTGCAATTTGCATCACAACATAATCACTACAAGAATTGCGGATTTTAGTGACGGAAAATCCGTCACTAAATCCCCCATAGATTAGCTTTGTGACGGATATTTGTGGCACAAATTCCGTGAAATCTTGACATTAAAGGCATTTATGGCGAATAAAGCAGTCCGTCGCAAATCAATGGCAGAATATAGTGGCGAATATTTCTGTCAGTATGTTTCGTGACAGATATTTCATCGCTAAATGCCGTCACTAAATTATTTATATTTGCAAAAAAAAAGATTTTAATATGGAGTAGTCAAATACCATTATAAATTTAAATAAAAATCTTAGAAAGGAAACCAAAATGAAGCAAAATAATCAAATCATATATGTCAAAACTATGATTTCAATATTGATAAAATACCAATAGCCAATAATTCATAAGCAAACTAAACAACTTTACATTACATATACTCCGATTAAAAATCTATGGTAGCTTTATAAAATCTTAAATACATATCAACTACATAATTGATACTGAATGTAATACTTCTATTCTGTACTACATTAAAATGTACAAATCACACATCTAAGAATACATATTTTAGAAAAAATGTACACAACTGATGATTCTACATGATCTGGCTGAGTTATCCTAATCAGCTTTAGCTTGTTGGACTTGTTTGTAGTTGAATGTGCTCATGCAAGCCATCCCCCAAAACTCATGAAAAAACTCCTGCAAAGACAATAAACTTCATGACTTGTCTAGAAACAAAATTGCAAATGTAAAATAAAATACGTAGTAAATAAAACAACAAAAAAGAGTTTTAGGCAGGCATTATTTCTGATTTTTGCAACCAGGAATATAATATACCCAAAATTGTTGAAGAAATATTACTCACCATTCTAATGACCCTCCGGTGGAAGTATATTCTTTTGTTATTTAATCTAAGCAGCTCGGTATCCTTTCACTTGAACTCCATTTTATTTCCTTATTTGCAATTAATCATACCTAATTACAACAACAATGGGTTAGAAAAAAAGCCAGAATGAACTCATTTCTATGAATCTCGAACTAACCAAACAAGTTAGGAGAATGGGTCAAACACAAAAAGAAATACGGAGTAGATAAGTACAGAGCCTTGGTCACATAGAAATCAATTTTTTTATTCAGTTGTTCTGGAGATGAAAACCTCACATATCCTTCTTCGAAAAGAAACACTAACAGGGAAGACATAGTCTACCTTGCCGATTAAAAGAAAAAGCAAATCCACTACCCAAAGAGAACAACGATAGAGAAAATGAAAAAACAGAGAAATAGATAAATAGTTACTCTAGCTTGCCGGTTAAAGGACCAAAGAAATTGCCCGCGGGATAAGTTTTTGGGGGAGTGGGTGTGCGGCGATCTGGTTGCTAGGGCTTAGAGAGGAGGCTGCGTTTCGCTCTTATACAGATTGGGATGAGGGCTGCAAATTATTTGAGCGGGTTTCATTTTAAGTGGAGGGAGTTCCAAATTTTTGGGCGGATTTCATTTGGAGGGAGTTCCAAATTTTTGGGCGGATTTCATTTAAAAAGTGGAGGGAGTTCTGATTTTTTTGAGAAAAAGGGAGAGTATAGGATTTGCCTATTTGGTGAGATAATTTGGTACTCCCTCCGTCCCATTTTACCTGTCTTACTTTTCTTTTTGGGTTGTCTCAAAATAAGTGTCTCCTTTCCTTTTTTGGAAAGAAATATGTGGTCTACACCATTTTACTTTATTATACTAAAAAATCAACCACAACTTTTACTTTTTCAACCACTTCATTAATAACTGTGCCAAGTCAAACTAATATACATAAAATTTGACGGAGGTAGTATTAATTAAATCAATTTATTCGAGTTGCTGTAATTTGTTATATTTGGAGTAATTGTTTTTACTTGGACTGTTTTTAGTCGCATATCAAATTTGAACAGACCTTACCAAATCAGATCAGACCAAACTTTCATAATTATAATATATA